CAACCGCGCCATGGTTCTGAAATCGAGGTCAAGGCGCTGAGGAGCTGGCTTGTTTTCGAGAAGTGTCGAAATCGCTCGGAGAGAAAAACGATTGGAGGAAATTTCGTTAGAGAGATACCTCACCTAAAATGTATCACACGAGAGATGGTGTTGTGTCGGGGCTGTCAACAGACTAGTTACTTATGTACGGTGGTGTGTGTCTGGTTGGCTTGAAGTGCCTCCAGGTTCTGCATGGGAAGTTCGCGAATCGCGAAATTGGAGCAAGCGAAGGAACCGAACCGCGCTGAATCATGCGACTGTAGATGTTGGCGGGTGGATGCGAACATGCACTTTCCTGGCGCAGGTTGGCTCCTCGCGGCGTTGTTACCCGTACCGTACTGAAACATGTCTGGTCAGGTCTGAACTCAGGTTACGGGAATTCGAAGCGCAGGGAGCAGCATCATGTCTTGTTCAGCATGAGTGAACTCCTGGGGCTGCGAAATGTTTGCTGGAGTTTGTCCTCACCACCCTACACCGCTATATCGCAGCAGGACTCTTCCAAGGCGGAAACCTACATTCGGGGTTTGCTAGAGCTCTAAAACACATAATAGATAATAATGAATGTCTTACATTACCATACTCAAAACTCGCCCAAATTGAGGGCCAGGAACCCAGTCAGCAGTCTGCCATTGGTGGATCTCAGCTCGTTGATCAGGCGGCCCCAATTCGACCCTAACGACCCAACAAAAAGATCGCACTGAGCAGCAATCAGCAGGCTAGCAAAGCTGATGGCCACTGATTGCTCACTATCATATGCTCGCATGTCTCCCTCCACTTCTTGCCACTGCTGCTTTTGTGAAGTTGCGCTGTTCCTTTGACGGGCGTTGGTGGAGTGGAAAAAGGTCCAATCGGGGTAGAGAGACGTGGCATCAATCACCGACTGCAAATCCGAGGACGGGAGGGTGGCAAGGCACTGAAAGTGTGAGTGTGTGGGGTGGGGGGGAAATGCAGCCACATCCCACGTGACTTATGCGTCGACTAGAACTTGCTATCTTGGTTCTGGGGAAAATGAATCAGACTAGGTACCTTAAGTTTTTGGATAAATTTTGCGTCAGTGTAGCATGGTGTCTAAGTTGGGTACCTGTACTTCTGTGTAGAACCACACATATTGAAGGTGACTTTTGGGTCGACTCAAAAGTCGCCTTGCAACAAAAGCACACATGACTCATACACCTTGGTGTCTGAGTTGGGTACCTTGTCTGAGTTGGGTACCTTGTCTGAGTTGGGTACCTTGTCTGAGTTGGGTACCTTGTCTGAGTTGGGTACCTTGTCTGAGTTGAATACCTTGTCTGAGTTGGGTACCTTGTCTGAGTTGGGTACCTTGTCTGAGTTGGGTACCTTGTCTGAGTTGGGTACCTTGTCTGAGTTGGGTACCTTGTCTGAGTTGGGTACCTTGTCTGAGTTGGGTACCTTGTCTGAGTTGGGTACCTTGTCTGAGTTGGGTACCTTGTCTGAGTTGGGTACCTTGTCTGAGTTGGGTACCTTGTCTGAGTTGGGTACCTTGTCTGAGTTGGGTACCTTGTCTGAGTTGGGTACCTTGTCTGAGTTGGGTACCTTGTCTGAGTTGGGTACCTTGTCTGAGTTGGGTACCTTGTCTGAGTTGGGTACCTTGTCTGAGTTGGGTACCTTGTCTGAGTTGGGTACCTTGTCTGAGTTGGGTACCTTGTCTGAGTTGGGTACCTTGTCTGAGTTGGGTACCTTGTCTGAGTTGGGTACCTTGTCTGAGTTGGGTACCTTGTCTGAGTTGGGTACCTTGTCTGAGTTGGGTACCTTGTCTGAGTTGGGTACTTTGTATGAGTTGGGTACCTGTACTTCCGTGTCGAGCCACACAAATTGAAGGCCAGGCCGGGAGAGCTTGAGCCTGCGCGGGGTCACATGGATGTAGTCACATGGATATGGTCACATGGATATGGTCACATGGATATGGTCACATGGATATGGTCACATGGATATGGTCACATGGATATGGTCACATGGATATGGTCACATGGATATGGTCACATGGATATGGTCACATGGATATGGTCACATGGATATGGTCACATGGATATGGTCACATGGATATGGTCACATGGATATGGTCACATGGATATGGTCACATGGATATGGTCACATGGATATGGTCACATGGATATGGTCACATGGATATGGTCACATGGATATGGTCACATGGATATGGTCACATGGATATGGTCACATGGATATGGTCACATGGATATGGTCACATGGATATGGTCACATGGATATGGTCACATGGATATGGTCACATGGATATGGTCACATGGATATGGTCACATGGATATGGTCACATGGATATGGTCACATGGATATGGTCACATGGATATGGTCACATGGATATGGTCACATGGATATGGTCACATGGATATGGTCACATGGATATGGTCACATGGATATGGTCACATGGATATGGTCACATGGATATGGTCACATGGATATGGTCACATGGATATGGTCACATGGATATGGTCACATGGATATGGTCACATGGATATGGTCACATGGATATGGTCACATGGATATGGTGTGAAGAAACGAGCTGCATTCACACATACGAGGGATTACGATTCGATACAGACTGAATATGATATGCATATTATCGGCCCCGGTTTCAACTGAGCCACAACCCACCTGAGCCAGAACACACCTACAACAGGACCCACCTGAACTCACCTGAGCCAGAACTCACCGACAACAGGACCCACCTGAACTCACCTGAGCCAGAACAGACCTACAACAGGACCCACCTGAACTCACCTGAGCCAGAACCCAGTTGAGCGAGAGCTCAGCTGAACCGAAACTCACCTGCACCAGAACGCACCTGCACCAAAACGCACCTGCATCAGAACGCACCTGCACCAGAACGCACCTGCACCAGAACGCGCCTCCACCAGAACGCACCTGTACAACAGGAACATGTGGGAGTGGAAGGAGGCGAGTGGCATCTCCCTGCCCTTGTCTGTCTGCCGCACATGCACACTCGCCATGCCCCCTGGCCTCTGCACCTCCCCCCCCACCATCCTGTATGCCTCCTCCACCCCTACCTCCCTGCCTCCCATCTCTCCGCTGATGCCGCCGCTGTTGCTGCTGCTGCTGCTGCTGCTGCTGGTGGTTTCGCCACTGCTGCTACAGCCAGCAGCAGGGGCACAGCTAGCAGCGGAGCAAGGGGGGGCGGGGAAGCCGCGTTGGGGCCACACGCAGGCGTGCAGCGAGCGCACAGGAGGGGGTGACGACTCGCCCTGTGTCACCTCCGCTGCTGCTGCTGCTGCTGCTGCTTCTGATACCTCCACTGCTGCTGCTGCTGGTACCTCTGGAGCTGTCCCTGGTGTGGGCAGCTGTTGTGCCGCTGGTGGAAAGGAAAATGGTGAGGGGGCTGAAGCAGAGGAGGAGGAGGAGGAGGAGGAGGAGGAGGAGGAGGAGGAGGAGGAGGAGGAGGAGGAGGAGGAGGAGGAGGAGGAGGAGGAGGAGGAGGAGGAGGAGGAGGAGGAGGAGGAGGAGGAGGAGGAGGGGGAAGAAGGGGCGTCTGAGGAGGGGATTGAGAAGGTGGGGGGAGGGAGGGAGGAGGAATAATCGTCCATGCTTGAGAGTAGCAGGTATTGACTCTCTGTGATGGCGTTGCTGGCTGAGAGCGCACGCAGGAAGGTGGACTGGGTCGAGGCGAACGCTGCGAGCTGATTGGCGACAAGCATGCCGAATGCGGCGTGGCACTGCTGGTTGATGACGTGGCAGAGATGGGCTGAGGGCCAGCGCAGCATGAAGCGTGTGGCCTGCGCACGCCACCAGTGGGTCTGATTGGATCGGAGGTGGGGTGCGGGAAAAGCGAGGGGGGAGGAGGAGGGGCCAAATAGGGAAGAGCAGAGGGAGATGAGCAGACCCCAGACAGCATGAAGCGTGTGGTCTGCACACGCCATAACATGCCACGCCATGCCATGCTATAACATGCCATGCCACGTGCCATGTCACGCCATGCCACGCCATGCCTCAAAGCGTGCCTAAATTCCCATCTGTACGCCAAATTAAGTGCCTCTTGTTTCATGCCCACCACTAGCATCCATCATGTTATTGCCTATCACACGTTCCCCATCGTGCTCTCACCGTGCTCTCACCATGCTCTCACCATGCTCTCACCATGCTCTCACCATGCCTCACACACAAGCCTCACCATGCTCTCATTGTCCGACATGCCCTGCATCTGCCCCCAGTGCTCCACCGTGGGTGGTGTGGCCAGATAAGCAGAACCCCACAGCCTGCAGGTAGGTACGGGGAAGAAACAGGGGGAAGGAAGGAGGGGAAGGAAGGAGGGGAAGGAAGGAGGGGGGAGGAAGGAGGGGGAAGGAGGATGGAAAACGATGAATATCTGCTAATTTCGAACGCTTTTCCTGCCAAGTTCTATGAGTAGCATCCTATCTCTCTCCTATCTTATGTCGGTAATTTGAACTCTAACTCATTGGCTTACTATTGTGCCTCCATAGACATCACAAGTAATTGCACCTCCCTCCGTACAACGGCGCTCCTGAAACCTGCTCGTTCTTGTCCACAGTCATGACAAGATGGACATGGTTGTGTACAAGAACAAAACAACGCGGTTATCAAAGGAGGAGGAAGACCAATTGTCATGATCAGAACGAGCAGGTGCCAGGTGCACAGCTCTACGGGGTTGAGATTACTTGTGGTGTTTATGCAGGCACGGTAGTAGTAGGCCAAAAAGTTAGAGTTCGAAGTTCGAATCATCCACCATACAAGTTTAGAACGGAGATAGGATACTACCCGAAGAACTTTGCGAGAAAAGCAACCAAACTTGGACATATTTTGCTGGGCCGCATAGACGGAAAATCACAGCCTGCTGGGAGATAGGAGGTTGGGGGTTGAAGAGGGAGATTAAAGGGGCCATAGAGGCTGCGGGCAGGGGGAACAGTGGGATGAATCGGCGTTGTGCCGAGGGCATGGAGACGGAAGGAAAAGACATGGAATTCTTAAAAGTGCACCCATTCACACCTGCACTTGACCTGCTGCACCCATTCACACCTCACAGCGACAGACAGCTGCTCCATTTGAACCTCCCCCTGCTGAAGCAGTGCCTAGCAGGCTTGCTGCCGCGACAACTCCCAACGCCCACTCTGACATGCTACACACTCCCTCATGCTCCACACTCCCTCATGCTCCACACTCCCTCATGCTCCACACTCCCTCATGCTACACACTCCCTCATGCTCCACACTCCCTCATGCTCCACACTCCCTCATGCTCCACACTCCCTCATGCTCCACACTCCCTCATGCTCCACACTCCCTCATGCTCCACACTCCCTCATGCTACACACTCCCTCATGCTCCACACTCCCTAATGCTACACACTCCCTCATGCTCCACACTCCCTCATGCTCCACACTCCCTCATGCTCCACACTCCCTCATGCTCCACACTCCCTCATGCTCCACACTCCCTCATGCTCCACACTCCCTCATGCTCCACACTTCGCAATGATCCACCATGAAAAAACTACCACCTCACACTCACAGACTCACATACTCCCTCACCTGGCCGCCTCACTGCCCTGCTCCAGGAACAGCTCCCCCAGCTGCTGCAGTTCCACACACACACCATCACACTCCCCATGCACGACTGCACAGGGCTTGCTGGCTTGCTTGCTTGCTGGCTTGCTTGCTGGCTTGCTTGCTTGCTGGCTTGCTTGCTTGCAGGCTTGCTTGCTTGCTGGCTTGCTTGCTGGCTGGCTTGCTTGCTTGCTGGCTTGCTTGCTTGCTTGCTGGCTTGCTTGCTGGCTTGCTTGCTTGCTTGCTTGCTGGCTTGCTTGCTTGCTGGCTTGCTGGCTTGCTTGCATGTACACCACTCACCTGCCCTGCTCCATCAACAGTTCCTCAAGCTGCTGCAGCTCCACACACAATACGGGCATCCAACGGTTTTGCTACCTTAAAGGTTGAATAAACTCACACTCACACACAACCTCATGCTCACACACAACCTCATGCTCACACACAACCTCATGCTCACACACAACCTCATGCTCACACACAACCTCATGCTCACACACAACCTCATGCTCACACACAACCTCATGCTCACACACAACCTCATGCTCACACACAACCTCATGCTCACACACAACCTCATGCTCACACACAACCTCATGCTCACACACAACCTCATGCTCACACACAACCTCATGCTCACACACAACCTCATGCTCACACACAACCTCATGCTCACACACAACCTCATGCTCACACACAACCTCATGCTCACACACAACCTCATGCTCACACACAACCTCATGCTCACACACAACCTCATGCTCACACACAACCTCATGCTCACACACAACCTCATGCTCACACACAACCTCATGCTCACACACAACCTCATGCTCACACACAACCTCATGCTCACACACAACCTCATGCTCACACACAACCTCATGCTCACACACAACCTCATGCTCACACACAACCTCATGCTCACACACAACCTCATGCTCACACACAACCTCATGCTCACACACAACCTCATGCTCACACACAACCTCATGCTCACACACAACCTCATGCTCACACACAACCTCATGCTCACACACAACCTCATGCTCACACACAACCTCATGCTCACACACAACCTCATGCTCACACACACCCTCACACTCACACACAACCTCATGCTCACACACAACCTCATGCTCACACACAACCTCATGCTCACACACAACCTCATGCTCACACACAACCTCATGCTCACACACAACCTCATGCTCACACACAACCTCATGCTCACACACAACCTCATGCTCACACACAACCTCATGCTCACACACAACCTCATGCTCACACACAACCTCATGCTCACACACAACCTCATGCTCACACACAACCTCATGCTCACACACAACCTCATGCTCACACACAACCTCATGCTCACACACAACCTCATGCTCACACACAACCTCATGCTCACACACAACCTCATGCTCACACACAACCTCATGCTCACACACAACCTCATGCTCACACACAACCTCATGCTCACACACAACCTCATGCTCACACACAACCTCATGCTCACACACAACCTCATGCTCACACACAACCTCATGCTCACACACAACCTCATGCTCACACACAACCTCATGCTCACACACAACCTCATGCTCACACACAACCTCATGCTCACACACAACCTCATGCTCACACACAACCTCATGCTCACACACAACCTCATGCTCACACACAACCTCATGCTCACACACAACCTCATGCTCACACACAACCTCATGCTCACACACAACCTCATGCTCACACACACCCTCACACTCACACACAACCTCATGCTCACACACAACCTCATGCTCACACACAACCTCATGCTCACACACAACCTCATGCTCACACACAACCTCATGCTCACACACAACCTCATGCTCACACACAACCTCATGCTCACACACAACCTCATGCTCACACACAACCTCATGCTCACACACAACCTCATGCTCACACACAACCTCATGCTCACACACAACCTCATGCTCACACACAACCTCATGCTCACACACAACCTCATGCTCACACACAACCTCATGCTCACACACAACCTCATGCTCACACACAACCTCATGCTCACACACAACCTCATGCTCACACACAACCTCATGCTCACACACAACCTCATGCTCACACACAACCTCATGCTCACACACAACCTCATGCTCACACACAACCTCATGCTCACACACAACCTCATGCTCACACACAACCTCATGCTCACACACAACCTCATGCTCACACACAACCTCATGCTCACACACAACCTCATGCTCACACACAACCTCATGCTCACACACAACCTCATGCTCACACACAACCTCATGCTCACACACAACCTCATGCTCACACACAACCTCATGCTCACACACAACCTCATGCTCACACACATACATACCTGGGGGCCTCACTGCGCTGCTGCTCCATGAACAGCTTCCCCAGCTGCTGCACTAAAGCTCGCACAAGTTGATGGTTGAATAAACCCACTCTCACCTGGCTGGCGGCCCCACTGCCCTGATCCATGGACAATTCTCCCAGCTGCTGGAGCTCCACACACACAATGGGCGCATGCGACGCCGCTGCTGCTGTGAAGCCGGCACGAGATGATGGGTAGATGCATACACTCGTACACACTCACTCACACACACCTGGCCGCCTCGCTGCCTTGCTCCATGAACAATCCTCCCAGCTGCTGCAGCTCCACACACACAATGGGCGCATCTGACGCCGCTGCTGCCTTGAAGCCGCGAGAGGCGCACGGCGGCACGGCACCCACTGCCACGGCTTGCTGTGCTCGCTGCGTGCAATGAGAAGAGACGACTGGAAAGAAGAAACACTCCCATGACCCCCCCTGGGCTAGGTCTGGGGAGGTGGGAGGGGGGGGGAGGAGAAGGGGAGGAGGGAGGGAGAGTGGGAGGGAGGGAAGGAGGGAAGGAGGGAGGGAGGGAGAGATAAGAGGGAGGGGAGGGAGGGTGGGAAGGAGGGAGGCATGGGGGAAAAGGGGAAGGGGGGAGAGAGAGAAGTATTGGGAGAGGAAAATGAATATCTCAGGCACTGGGAAGTGCCAAAACTGCACCTCACCGCACTGCACCACACTGCACTGGAGTGGAGTGATGGGGACGAAGCACACTGACACATCCACCTTGGTAGATAGTGAGATGTCCCAGAACCCAGAGCAGGGAGGGCGGGGAGGAGGGCGAAACACGCACCTTGACACGCACCTTGACACGCACCTCACACCCCACTTCCCAAGCCTTAAAGCTCGTGGCACGCACCTTGGCACGTGGGGAGGAAGGCGCGGTCGAACTGCTCCGGCCACGGCACCAAGGTGCGATTGTGCGCCATGGCTATGCTCAGATACGCCCCCGCCAGATGCACCTGCACCAGTACAGGACAAAACGGACAACTTGCCTGATTGCGTACCTGATTTTCTGCCTTAGAACAAACCACCTGATGTTACCTGGAAAACCACCTCAGCAAAAACTCTGCCAAGTTATTCACGATCTGGCCAGGCACATGAGACTCCACCCCACCCCTTGAACCACCTGACAGGGCACCTGACCTGACAGCACACCGGCCAATTCACCTGACCGCTAAAAGAAGATCCACCTAACCGTTCACCTAAGAATTCACGGATGATCACCTGAAATTCACCTGACCGCTCACCTGAAATTCACCTGACCGCTCACCTGAAATTCACCTGACCCCTCCTCACCTGAGACCCCAGGCCGTGGTGTTCCGCCGGCCACCAGCGGGCCAGCAGCAGGCGCCGCCCCTCACACGACGCTCCTATTCGCTGGCTCTCCCAGATGTCTCTCTGTGCGACACGTGTCAGTGGCAGGTTGTCCACGTCAGCACCCCTCACCCATGGCGGGAGCGGCCCCTCCGCACACCCCTCCCCTCCCCTTTCCGCTGCCCCCTCCGCACCCGCATGCGCAGGTTCCGCGCTTCCCCCCCCTCCCCCCCGTCTCCGCGCCCATAAGGGCGGCTCCCCCCTTGGTCCGCGCGCCTCTGAGGCGCGGCGCCAGGCAGTGCGCGCGGAGCAGTCCTCCAGGTGCGGCGCGGGGGGAACGGCGGGCGGAAAGGGGAGCGGGGAGGGCGGGGGAAGCAGCGACGAGGCGTTGTCTAGCCCGTAGATCTGCGCCCATGCCTGGGGGGCGGGGCAGAGTGCGCAAAAGGCAGGGGGAAGGCGGGGGGAGAGGGAGGGGACGGGGAAGGGATGCGGGAATGGACTGGTTGCAGGGATTGGGGGGGGGGGGGGGGAGAGAGGGGGGGGGTAGGGTGTGGGGGAAGGAGGGGGGGTGTTTGAGAGCATGGGAGAGTGGATAAAAAAAATCTAGGGGCTGCAAAGAGACGCCACAAACCGTGGCGGTGGCTTATACCGCGTACAGCTCTTTAGCGCGCTCTTTTATCTCCTCCCCGTTGACTGCTGTTAACCTTCGCCCGCCTTCCGCCCTTCCGCCGCCTTCCGCCCTTCCGCCGCCCTCCGCCATTCCGCCGCCATAGCCCTCCCCGCCTAGAGAATCTCTTCCGTCAATTCCCCCTGAGACGGCTGTAGCCGCCACTACAACCCATGCCACTACCAGCACCAGCGCCGATCGCGACGTACGCGTTATAATCTCTCCGAATAAGGCCATTCGTAGAAGTCGCCGGGCATAGTCTGATCGCCGCGCACCGCCTAGAGCAATGCTCAGCGTATCAAAACGTACGGAGTACTAGGCGCGCTGCGAATATCTGTATCTCGCCATGCTAGGTGCTACAGGTCGATTGACACCTTCCAGCTCGACTTGGTGGTCGTCTGGGCACGCGAGCTGCTCTGCCTGCTCCGAAATTGAATGGACTGGAAATTGCCTCAATAGCGGAGCATTCCGCTGAGCATGTACCGTAGCAGCTAAATTTTTACGAAGGATCAACAAAACAATAACAATATTATTGAAAGAACTGGTTGCTCGCAGCCCAACCAGCTGCAACCAAAGCCAACACCACAAGCGCAATTTTCTTCCGATTATCTTTCAAACGATCCACCAGGGATTTTGCAAGAGGAGCCTTATCGGTGCTCGGTGAGCCATTTGTGTCCGCTCCATTCGACGTACCTAAAAGGACACACCACACCAGTCAACATACAGAGCAATACATTGATTTTTCATATTCCAATGTTCCTTTGCATAAATGGCGAATGCGAAGGGTGTCGTGAAAAAAAGGCTCAGGAGAGAGCAAGCGATGCCTTACAGGGCCACTCACCAGCCGCAGAGGGGCGGTAGCGCAGCGCATTGAATAGTAACCCCAGCACGATGGCGAGCAGCGTGCAGGTGAGTGTAATGACATTGTATGGCATGAGCTTGTACTATACGAGCGATTGTGCGTGGCAACAACCATAAAGACTCACCAGCAGCGGAGGGGCGATAGCGCAGAGTGTTGAAGAGTGACCCCAGCACGATGGCGAGCAGCGTGCAGGTGAGCGTGATGACATTGTATGGCATGCTCAGGTCTGGCAGCGGCACCGGCACCACCACTGGTGGCGCATACATGTGGCTTGGACCCTGTGGGTCCTGCAGCGAGCAAGAGGGAGGAAAGGGGGATGTCGCCATTTGAAAATTCTATAAAAGCACCATCACAGGGGCACCGCCACCATCACAGGGGCACCGCCACCACCACAGGGGCACCGTCACCATCACCGGGGCACTGCTACCATCACAGGGGCACCGGCACCAGCACCGGTGGTGCGTATATGTGGCGTGGCTCCTGTGGGTATTGACGCATTAGGAGCGTGGACAGAGGGGAGGTAAGGAGATGATGTACGTGCAAACAAATGTACTCTTGAGGTGCTTCGATGGTACGTGCTTGAAAGGCATGCATTGATATGCGTGTGTATGTATGGTATAGTCACTGGCTATACAGATGGCATGGTGAGTGTGACAATACCGAGGGCACAGCGTGTGACATCACAGTGAGTGTGGTATCAGTGAGAGTGACATCATAATAAGCGTGACAATACTGAGGGCAGAGAGAGTGTGACAATACTGAGGGCAGAGAGAGTGTGACAATACTGAGGGCAGAGAGAGTGTGACAATACTGAGGGCAGAGAGAGTGTGACAATACTGAGGGCAGTGAGAGTGTGACAATACTGAGGGCAGAGAGAGTGTGACAATACTGAGGGCAGAGAGAGTGTGACAATACTGAGGGCAGAGAGAGTGTGACAATACTGAGGGCAGTGAGAGTGTGACAATACTGAGGGCAGAGAGAGTGTGACAATACCGAGGGCACAGTGAGGAGGGCAGCGGGAAGGTCAACTCCTCTGCTGGCATCAGGCGGCGTTTCAAAGACAGTCAGAAAGGCCTGCAGGGCGGTCAGAGGTGGATGGTGAGAGGAGGGAGATGGTGAGAGGAGGGAGATGGTGAGAGGAGGGAGATGGTGAGAGGAGGGAGATGGTGAGAGGAGGGAGATGGTGGGACGAGGGAAGAGGCGAGCGGAAGGTGGTGGTGGGGCAAAGGTCAAGAGAGTGTCGGTGGGTGCGAGAGGAGAAGAGCTCAAGGGCACAATGCCTTTCTGTACGACAGTGTGATTGTATCGGTGAGAGTGTTACGATATTGAGGGCACAGTGAGAGTGATCACACCTTTCGGTCCTGCAATGGGTAACACATGACGCTTCAAACCCTTTCAAACCCACACCTTTCTGTACTGCAGTGTGATTGTAACGCGAGACACTCCCCTGGGCACGCGCAGCAGCAGCTCCAGCACAGCAGGCGGGCCTCTCTCCCTCGTCGGCTGTAGCCGCGCCGATACAACGGCGCTGCTGTCCCTCAGGCTGACAGGGCTATGGTCGAAGGAGAGAGAGAGTGTGTGCAGGTAGAGCTTCAGCCACCAGGGCACCGCCTGGAACACACTCACTGTGTCGCTCCCTGTGTCGCTCACTGTGTCGCTTCTACACTCCCTGCAGAGTCTCTCTGTGTTGGAAGATTCATTTTCCTTCTTTACACCCCAATCTTTCGCATCACCCCCTGCTCTCTGTATCAGGAAGGTCAGGCCCCCCAGAGCATCTCCAGTGCCTGTGGTGAACCGAGAAAGGACGAACAACGCTGGCCGCCGCTGCCATGACACACGCCGCTTCCAGTGAACGCCTGCCGAGCTGACTGCTGCCACGTCACCTACTTGCAACGCTAAATCAGCACCATTGCCAGCAGCTTCTGCAGTAGCAGCAGCGCTAGAGGCAGAGCTAGAGCCTTGAACGGAGGTAAAATGAAGAGAGGTAGAGGCGTGCACTTGACGTTGTTGTCGCATGTCACGATGCAGCAGCACCGCTTCCACTTGCTGCACGCCCCCCATTCCCCCCATGCCTTGTGCACTCGAATCCCCCCACAACACAGCACCACCTCTCTCCTGCACCCTCACCCTCCACTTCCCCTCCAGGCCAAACACTGCGTTGCTCCTGAGGAAAGCTGCCCACCCCACTTTTGAGTCCCTCCCATTACTCTCACCCCCACCACTACAGGCAGCAGCAGCAGCAGCAGCAGAGGCAGCAGCAGCAGTAACAGTAGTAGCAGCAGAGGTGGCGGCTGCACCTGCTGCTGAAGCAGCAGTGAGTTGGGCGGCGGGGCAGAGGAGACCGGATGGCGCTCTGATTGCCACGTCAGTTGACGTGGCAAGAGGACACACTGACGTCAGCTGCCGCCCAAACAGCGCACCCACACTCCAATCGGGCGGCAGTGGAAGCACATCGCTCAGATCAAGCACCTCTTGTGCCACTGCACCTGCTGGGCTCGAAGGAGCGTATGGGACGGGATTGGTGGCAGCTGCGGCGGCAGCGGCAGCAAGGGCGTTCTCTGTGGAGGCGTCGAGTACGACTGTGAGCGACTGGTGCAGCACCACTGCCCATGTCACACCGAGACAGGCAAGCGTGGCGGGGGAGACGAAGGAGGAAGAGGAGGAAGAGGATTCTTCAGCAACACTGCACACACTCCCACCCTCTCCCACACTCCCCTCCTCTCCCACACTCCCCTCTCCCACACTCCCCTCTCCCACACTCCCCTCTCCCACACTCCCCTCCTCTCCCACACTCTCCTCGTCACCCACGCTGCCCTCGTCGCACACGTTGGTCCACAGGGCAGTGTGCAGGGAGTGGTAGCGGCCGCCAAACACGGCCCCGCGGTCCATGAGGGACGAGAGGCCTGCTGCGTCGCGGCACGGCAGCAGCTTCAGCCACGGCGTCAGGTTCTCCGTGCACACCGGCTCCCGAGCCATGCTGCCGTACCTCACATGCTGCCTCGGCGGTTGGTTCGGCGATGAAAAGGAGGAGGGTGGGGGCTGGAATGGTGAGTGAGTGTGGTTTTCGGGGAGAGGGAATGGGGACTGGAAGTGAAGAGCGGGGGAGACGACGGAGGAGGGGGATTGCAGGAAGTTGAGCGAGGCGCAGAAGAGACCTGCCAGGGCGTCAGTGAGGTTGTGCCACGTGGCGTCCAGCTGGCATGGGGGGAGACGGGAATGAGGAGAGACGGGAATGAGGGGAGAAAGGGACGAGGGCTGATGGGGATGAGAGGGAGAGTGGTGACAGAAAGTATCAAGGTGCAATGGAGTGACAGCCGTTAGTATCAAGGTGCAATGGAGTGACAGCCGTTAGTATCAAGGTGCAATGGAGTGACAGCCGTTAGTATCAAGGTGCAATGGAGTGACAGCCGTTAGTATCAAGGTGCAATGGAGTGACAGCCGTTGGTATCAAGGTGCAATGGAGTGACAGCCGTTAGTATCAAGGTGCAATGGAGTGACAGCCGTTAGTATCAAGGTGCAATGGAGTGACAGCCGTTAGTATCAAGGTGCAATGGAGTGACAGCCGTTAGTATCAAGGTGCAATGGAGTGACAGCCGTTGGTATCAAGGTGCAATGGAGTGACAGCCGTTAGTATCAAGGTGCAATGGAGTGACAGCCGTTAGTATCAAGGTGCAATGGAGTGACAGCCGTTAGTATCAAGGTGCAATGGAGTGACAGCCGTTAGTATCAAGGTGCAATGGAGTGACAGCCGTTGGTATCAAGGTGCAATGGAGTGACAGCCGTTAGTATCAAGGTGCAATGGAGTGACAGCCGTTAGTATCAAGGTGCAATGGAGTGACAGCCGTTAGTATCAAGGTGCAATGGAGTGACAGCCGTTAGTATCAAGGTGCAATGGAGTGACAGCCGTTAGTATCAAGGTGCAATGGAGTGACAGCCGTTAGTATCAAGGTGCAATGGAGTGACAGCCGTTAGTATCAAGGTGCAATGGAGTGACAGCCGATAGTATCAAGGTGCAATGGAGTGACAGCCGTTAGTATCAAGGTGCAATGGAGTGACAGCCGTTAGTATCAAGGTGCAATGGAGTGACAGCCGTTAGTATCAAGGTGCAATGGAGTGACAGCCGTTAGTATCAAGGTGCAATGGAGTGACAGCCGTTAGTATCAAGGTGCAATGGAGTGACAGCCGTTGGTATCAAGGTGCAATGGAGTGACAGCCGTTGGTATCAAGGTGCAATGGAGTGACAGCCGTTAGTATCAAGGTGCAATGGAGTGACAGCCGTTAGTATCAAGGTGCAATGGAGTGACAGCCGTTAGTATCAAGGTGCAATGGAGTGACAGCCGTTAGTATCAAGGTGCAATGGAGTGACAGCCGTTGGTATCAAGGTGCAATGGAGTGACAGCCGTTAGTATCAAGGTGCAATGGAGTGACAGCCGTTAGTATCAAGGTGCAATGGAGTGACAGCCGTTAGTATCAAGGTGCAATGGAGTGACAGCCGTTAGTATCAAGGTGCAATGGAGTGACAGCCGTTAGTATCAAGGTGCAATGGAGTGACAGCCGTTAGTATCAAGGTGCAATGGAGTGACAGCCGTTGGTATCAAGGTGCAATGGAGTGACAGCCGTTAGTATCAAGGTGCAATGGAGTGACAGCCGTTAGTATCAAGGTGCAATGGAGTGACAGCCGTTAGTATCAAGGTGCAATGGAGTGACAGCCGTTAGTATCAAGGTGCAATGGAGTGACAGCCGTTGGTATCAAGGTGCAATGGAGTGACAGCCGTTGGTATCAAGGTGCAATGGAGTGACAGCCGTTAGTATCAAGGTGCAATGGAGTGACAGCCGTTAGTATCAAGGTGCAATGGAGTGACAGCCGTTGGTATCAAGGTGCAATGGAGTGACAGCCGTTGGTATCAAGGTGCAATGGAGTGACAGCCGTTAGTATCAAGGTGCAATGGAGTGACAGCCGTTGGTATCAAGGTGCAATGGAGTGACAGCCGTTGGTATCAAGGTGCAATGGAGTGACAGCCGTTAGTATCAAGGTGCAATGGAGTGACAGCCGTTGGTATCAAGGTGCAATGGAGTGACAGCCGTTAGTATCAAGGTGCAATGGAGTGACAGCCGTTAGTATCAAGGTGCAATGGAGTGACAGCCGTTAGTATCAAGGTGCAATGGAGTGACAGCCGATAGTATCAAGGTGCAATGGAGTGACAGCCGTTAGTATCAAGGTGCAATGGAGTGACAGCCGTTGGTATCAAGGTGCAATGGAGTGACAGCCGTTGGTATCAAGGTGCAATGGAGTGACAGCCGTTAGTATCAAGGTGCAATGGAGTGACAGCCGTTAGTATCAAGGTGCAATGGAGTGACAGCCGTTAGTATCAAGGTGCAATGGAGTGACAGCCGTTAGTATCAAGGTGCAATGGAGTGACAGCCGTTGGTATCAAGGTGCAATGGAGTGACAGCCGTTAGTATCAAGGTGCAATGGAGTGACAGCCGTTAGTATCAAGGTGCAATGGAGTGACAGCCGTTGGTATCAAGGTGCAATGGAGTGACAGCCGTTGGTATCAAGGTGCAATGGAGTGACAGCCGTTAGTATCAAGGTGCAATGGAGTGACAGCCGTTAGTATCAAGGTGCAATGGAGTGACAGCCGTTAGTATCAAGGTGCAATGGAGTGACAGCCGTTAGTATCAAGGTGCAATGGAGTGACAGCCGTTAGTATCAAGGTGCAATGGAGTGACAGCCGTTAGTATCAAGGTGCAATGGAGTGACAGCCGTTAGTATCAAGGTGCAATGGAGTGACAGCCGATAGTATCAAGGTGCAATGGAGTGACAGCCGTTAGTATCAAGGTGCAATGGAGTGACAGCCGTTAGTATCAAGGTGCAATGGAGTGACAGCCGTTAGTATCAAGGTGCAATGGAGTGACAGCCGTTGGTATCAAGGTGCAATGGAGTGACAGCCGTTGGTATCAAGGTGCAATGGAGTGACAGCCGTTAGTATCAAGGTGCAATGGAGTGACAGCCGTTGGTATCAAGGTGCAATGGAGTGACAGCCGTTAGTATCAAGGTGCAATGGAGTGACAGCCGTTAGTATCAAGGTGCAATGGAGTGACAGCCGTTAGTATCAAGGTGCAATGGAGTGACAGCCGTTAGTATCAAGGTGCAATGGAGTGACAGCCGTTAGTATCAAGGTGCAATGGAGTGACAGCCGATAGTATCAAGGTGCAATGGAGTGACAGCCGTTAGTATCAAGGTGCAATGGAGTGACAGCCGTTAGTATCAAGGTGCAATGGAGTGACAGCCGTTGGTATCAAGGTGCAATGGAGTGACAGCCGTTAGTATCAAGGTGCAATGGAGTGACAGCCGTTAGTATCAAGGTGCAATGGAGTGACAGCCGTTAGTATCAAGGTGCAATGGAGTGACAGCCGTTAGTATCAAGGTGCAATGGAGTGACAGCCGTTAGTATCAAGGTGCAATGGAGTGACAGCAGTTTCGAATCTCACGAACTACTTCCCAGTAATTCCCCTTTCGCCTTTCCCTTTTCCTCTCACCTCTCCCACCCCCTTCTCCGCCCATCCACGTGACCAGCTGTGCCCCTGGCGGCCTCACGTCATACTCTTGGTGTGAGAGAGACGGGGGAGGGGGGAGAGGGGAGTGTTGGCCCCTTGTATCCCCTATTTCTGAGACCCCTCAATCCCACTTTCCATCGTTTCCCCTTGCTTCTTTCCTCTCACCTCTCTCCCCCCTTCTCCGGCCATCCATGCGACCAGCTGTGCCCCTGGCGGCCTCACGTCGTACTCTTGATGTGAGAGAGGCGGGGGAGGGGGGAGGGGGGGAGAGGAGGAGGAGGAGGAGGAGGAGGAGGAGGAGGAGGAGGAGGAGGAGGAGGAGGAGGAGGAGGAGGAGGAGGAGGAGGAGGAGGAGGAGGAAGAGGAGGAGGAGGAGGAGGAGGAGGAGGAGGAGGAGGAGGAGGAGGAGGAGGAGGAGGAGGAGGAGGAGGAGGAAGAGGAGGAGGAGGAGGGGGGGTACCCCATTGCTGCACGTCCCAGTTGCCGTGTGTGAGAGAGAGCGAGAAATGGCGCACGCTCAGCGATTGCACCTGTCGATTAGCGGGGCGAGTAGAGCGTAGGAAGGACGGGGAGGGGAGGAGTGAGGTGAGAGGAAGGAGGTGAGAGGAAGGAGGTGAGAGGAAGGAAGGAGGTGATTTTGAAAAACGTGCGTGGGAAGCAATGTGTGTCGACACAAGGGGACGACGAGTAAGAGAGGGACGACGAGGAACAGAAACGGAAAAAGGAAGGCAACAGGGATAACGAGGCGTTGACGCGGCAGAGCAGCCGGTGATCCTTGTATGACCGCGCGGCTTACGAGGTGCAGGATCGCCGGGGGGAACAGAACCGTGTCCGCGGCCTTTCCCCCTTCTTCCGCCGTTTCTCGCTTTCTTCCCGTTCCTCGCATTGCCCGCAGCCGGCTTTCGAACGCGAAGTGCGCCAACACGCGGCCATCCGACAGCGGCTCGAGCATCAACCGCTCATGAAACTCCTCGCGATTCGACACTCTAACGCGATCCGACACCGTTGCCTTCGACACTCTATCTGCGGCCGTTAGAGCCGGCCCCGATCCTCTGCCGCATAAGGCGGAGAGGCCAAGAATCACCGTCAGTGGCACCAGCCACATGGCTGGAGGAGTAAGCCCAGGATACTCGTCGGATCGGCGCGCGTTCGACGGCGCTATGCTTTTGAGAACTCTTGAACTTTATTAGACGAGGACTGCGAACTAACGGTGCGATGGGGAAGGTACGGAGACGGAAGAAAAGTCCGTGCAAAAAGCGACGCGTTCCTAACCTCCTAACCGGCTCTCTGGATGCCAGTTCCTTTCGCAAGAGCCTCCTGGTTCGCGTGCTTCGACCATTCGCGTCGCATTGCTCAGGAACAGGGCACCAAATTCGTAAGTCAGTAGCGCCTTGTAACTCGAGTGGATAACTTGGTGGTCGCTGACAGGTGTCCCTGATAGTGGAGCAAAATGAAGGTGAAGGAGCAATCCCAAGGGCGATCGATCGAAGCGGGCGCGAGGTATTCAACCAGGAAGATACTCCGAGGAATTCAACCGATACGCGACAAAGAGCGTGCTGAACAAGTAGCAATACTTAGCGATCAATAATAATAAAACTTGTACACATAGAACCCTCAGCTCCACCGTTTTCGGAATACATACTCGGAAAACAACGAATCAGATCCTGCCTGGTCACCAACCTCAATCGTCGCCCCATTCATTGCAACTCCATTGCCAACACCCTTAGCCCTCCCCTCTCCATCCCCAAACACCTCTCGACCACTTCGCCATTCCTCCCCAACCCCTCCAACATCCTCCACATTAACCACCTCGATACAATCACCTCCGTTTTCATCACTCGCTCGAGCCCTCTTGGCACTTCGCCCCAGCAAGCCAACTTTAACATGCCCTCCTGCATACCCCCCGTCGACAGCACCAACGCCAGCAGCCATTTTCCCCTCACCATCAGCACCAGGGGCCACCAAATTGCCAGAAGCTTCACTCCTAAGGCTCCTTTTGAGTGTAGCCGAGTCGGAGGAGAGAAACTGTGGGTTTCCCGACGCCGTTGGTACAGAATTCCCATCAGCAGAGGGTGGAAAAGCCGCGGAGGAGTTGACAGGTGCATTCTGCATAGCACTTGGTTGGCCAGGAGATAATCCAGGAGGCTTGCTGCTGTGGTCGTTGCTGGCTTCTCCGGTATACCCTTTATTGTGTTCTTCAATAAGCCTCTCAATAGTCTCCAGCACACGGGCACCGTACTTGTTGACCTTCACTCTGACATGAGAGACGGGGGAGAGGAGGGAACGGGGGGAGAGGGGGGAGAGAGGGGGAACGGGGGGAGAGGGGGGAGAGGAGGGAACGGGGGGAGAGGGGGGAGAGGAGGGAACGGGGGGAGAGGGGGGAGAGGAGGGAACGGGGGGAGAGGGGGGAGGAGGGGGGAGGGAGGGAGGGAACGGGGGAGAGGGGGGAGAGGAGGGAACGGGGGGAGAGGGGGGAGAGGAGGGAACGGGGGGAGAGGGGGGAGAGGAGGGAACGGGGGGAGAGGGGGGAGAGGAGGGAACGGGGGGAGAGGGGGGAGAGGTGGGAGCAGGGGGTGCAGAGGGAAGCATTAAGAAAATGGTAAAAGAGAAAGGAGGGAGCATGATGGACATGAATACCTGACCGCATTTACATTCACTCTGCACTCACACCTGCATAGCAACAGCTAGGCTCTGCCCCCATGCTACTCCAATCTTCTCTCTGCCCACCCAGCTCCTGCCCACCCCTCTGACAATGCTGGGAATAAAGCCACCGTTTGCCGCCCACCCAGCTCCGAGTCGCCCACCTGCCAATGCCGGGAATGTCCTGGAGCGCATCTAGAGTGCGGGGCAGGCGCTGACTGATGAGCACCAGCTGGGCGTTGCTGTGATGTGTGGGAAAGGGTGTTTGGAGACAAGGGGGGAAGGAATGAAGCTAGGGGGTGAGGGAAGAAGGGAGGGGAAAGCAGCTGAGCGTGCAGGGCAGGTGCTGACTGATGCAAAACCAACTAACTGGGCGTTGCTGAGAAGAGAAGGGCAGAGTGGGGAAGGAGAGAGCATAGTGTGGCTACAACTGGCTTGCACAAGTGGACGAGAAGCACAGGTGAGGAGGCTGTGGTCCGACTGAAAGTGAGCCTCGATAGAACCCTGAAAGTGTAGCCTACTGGCACGTTGCTGCTGTGCTGTGCCGCTCAGTGCACAGGAGAGAAGGGAGTGCACCAGATGCGTGTAGCAGGCAAGCAGGCCCACTCACCCGAATATGTGGTAGGGTGCGAGGTTCTTGCCCGACTCCTGCACCAACGTCTGCCTCAATGCGTGCAGCGCCTTGTACACCGCTCCTGACAGCACCTGTCAGCGCGTAACAAGAGACGATATGGACAGAGGGCAGGGGGGAGGGAGAGGGTGAGGGCCCACGGACAGCAAGGAAAAGAAGGCATGAGAGCCTGCCTCAACGAGTGCAGTGCACTCGACTCGAGGAGGGTAGACGAGGTATGTAGACCTCCCTCCACGCCTACCCATCACCCTATCCACAGTATCAAGGGGCATGAGTCACAGTAGGTCACAGCAGGCCATCAGTCACATCTCAGCTCAGGTCAGCTCAGCTCGGCTCAGCTCACCACATCAGCCGCCTGTTTGGGCGGCGAGAAGGGAGCAGCAGAATCAACAGCAGCAGCAGCCGCAGCAGCCATCTGTTGGAAAGGCATCGACCCCTTCCCTGCCCCTGCTGCTCCCCCTGCTCCCCCTGCTCCCCCTGCTCCTGGGGCTCCTCCCATCCCGTCAACTCCACCACCAACCCCAGAAGAGAACCCCCTGTTACCAGCACCGGACGATCTCACATCCACATCACCACCACCATCATCGCCATTATCAATCTCATCAGCCCATCCATCGGCCTCCACGCCACCCCCTCCTCCCATGCTACCAGCTGCACACCCATTGGCAGCAGCAGCAGCACTGGTAGCGCCTTTCCTGGTGCTGCTGCTGCCGCCACTGGTTCTGGTCTGCCTCCTGCCCCTGCTGCCTGCTGCTTTGCCGGTGGGTGTGGCGCCGGTGGCAGCGGCTGCTGTGTTTCTGCCTGCTCCGATTGAAGACTGCGTGGCGGAGTCAGGTCGTTTCTGAATGGGGAAGCTGTGGTGGGGGAGGGAATGGGTAAGTGGATAAGATCTTGAAATGCTGTTGTACTGAAACTCAAGAAATTATTCTGTTTCAAACCTGTCAGAGTGTGTGTGTAGAATATGGCTAGCTGTTTGTGCATCATGGGTGAAGGGGTGAAGGGGTGCTCGCCCACAGCACCGATCAGTAAAACAAAATTACAAAAGAGGAGTGGCATGAAAGATAAAGAAGGAACAGAAGCATGAACGGGACATTTCCTTTCTTAGAGTGGAATGATAAGGAAGGACATTTCCTTTCTTAGAAAGACAAAAACCAGACCAACAAGCGGGGAGGGAATAGAAGAAAGATGGGACGAGTTGAGTTGAGACAAGATGCAAGGAGAAACAGGATGGGGGGGAGGAGGCTTGGGAGGGAAGTGAGTGGAGCAGTGGTGCGGTGCATGGACTAAGTGGGGATCTCGGGGAGCACAGGCGCATGTGCTAAAAGTGACGTATTGAGACGTCTCAAAACATCTCGGGGAGAGGGGATCTCGGGGAGAGGGGATCTCGGGGGAGCACAGGCGCATGTGTGAATATGAGTGAGGTGTCGCTTGAATCTACCCAAGAGCCGCGTTCACTCAGCAGGGCGAGGGCATAGGCACGTGCCTGAGAGTGAGGTGCAGCTTCCCTGAGAATAGCGCCTCTGCCTTGCTGTCGTTCACCTGCAGACAGCAGCAGCGGGGACGGGAATGAGCGAGAATGGCAATGCAACCACGCACTCCATAGCCCCCCTTAGCCAACCACGCGTGCCATTTGAAGGCTCTTCATCCCGACCCAGCAGCGACACACATGCTTGGCTGGCAGTGCGGCACCAACACTCGCCTGCAGAAGAGACGAGATGGGCCCATACACCTCGCTCTTGTTGATGTCTTCCCTCACCACCTCCACACACACCAGGTGTCACACCACCTGCTCCATGTCCCGCCAGCTCCACCCTATTCTGGCCCACGGGTCCCTTGTCCTGTTGTGCAGACACCCTCACTTACAGCAGAGAGTGGGATACACACGAGCGGCAATGGCGCTGATACTCACTCGCAGCAGCGAGGAGATGGACCCATATGCCTCGCTCTTGTTAATGTCTTCCCTCACCACCTCCACACACACCAGATGCCGCACCACTCGCTCCATGTCCCGCCTACTCCACCCCCCTGCCGCCCCGCCCTCCTCATCCCCACCACCCGCTTTGTTCTCCTCTGCCATCCGCTGCGCCAGAGCCGTGTGCCCATTGCGCTTCACCTGGCGTGACGGGAGGGGGATGAAGGGGATGTTACAGGCTGTGTCTTTCCCACCCTCCCCGTCCCCACCACCCGCCTTGTTCTCCTTCGCCATTCGCTGCGCCAGAGCTGTGTGCCCATTGCGCTTCACCTGGGTCATGAAGTGAAGGGCGGTGGGGTGGAGGGATGGGGAGGGGACTTGGAGAAGGCGCTTCAGAAGACTGCGCCAGAGCTGTGTGACCGTTACGCTTCACCTGGAGCAGAGAGGAGAAAAGAGGTGATGCTTTAGGCGAGGTGACTTTTGAGTCGACTCAAAAGTCACCTCGGAGAAAAGAGGTGATGCTTTAGGCGGGAAAATTTAGTTGGGTTCCTTAAAAACGCCTCAGGAGCCATTCGCTGGACTAGAGCCGCATGTCCCCCTTGCGCTTCACCTGGGGCTGTGAAGTGGCGGCGGGGAGAAGATGAGAGGGACCTTGTTAGGCACCTCCGGTACCTTCCTCATATAGGCGCCTGCATCGCCGCTTGACTACCATGTCCGCCAGTGAAGCTCATGCTCTCCATACCTGGGCTGAATCCGTTTTTTGAGAATTCTCAAAAAAACTCATGCTCTCCATACCTGGGCACGCATGCTTACATCACACGCAGCAGTACAATCTCCACCTCCTGCGCTTACGTCCTTTGAGACGTTTCAAAAGTCATCATACCTGAGCGCTGGCAGAGCCACGCAGGAGGTCGAGAATGTACTGCTGGGTGTGGCGCTCCCCCGTCTCACGAATGAGGGAAATCTGCAGGAAGAGGATGTGTAGGGGTGGCGAGGAGGAGGCGAGAGAGTGTAGCAGGGACGGGAGAGCATGTGGGATGGGGAGAGCGAGCATGTGCGGCAGGAAGATATGTACGCCTTGTTGCACAGGAGGTCAAGCTAGTACTGCTGAGTAAGTCTCAAAACGAGTGATATCCCTGCATGTGCTTCTGCATGTGCTTCTGCATGTGCACTGCATGAGCTAGTTGGCATGTGCCTCTGCAGCCAACTCAAAACGACCTCTCAGCTCATCTCAACTCACGATGCACAGCGCCAGGTGGGTGTGGTCTCTGGGTGCAGAGGGGACGAGACTTTCCAGTAGATTCACAACCCATTTTGACTCGCAATACGCAGGGCCAGGCGCGCGATGTCTCGGGGCGCCGAGGTAATGTGCCTTCTCAGTTGATAAAAATAAAGGGTCGACTCAGAAGGGGTTGACTCACAATGCGCAGGGCCAGGCGCGTGATGTCTCGGGGAGCGGAGGCAACGTCGCGGCAGCAGTTGTCGCAGGAGCGGCGGCAGTGTGCGGGGTCAAAGCGCTCGCCGAAATGAGACAGCTGCACCGTGCGCCTACAGTCCACATCGTTCTCACAGTATGCCACCTGGTGGGACGTGGGGTTGAAGGAGGGGAATGGGGAAGGGGAAGGGGGGACAAGGGGTAATGGAAGAGGAGCAAGGGGAATGGGGAGGAGAGGACAAAAGGGAAGGAAGGAGCGTGCATGTTGGCAGCAGTTGTCGCAGGAGCGGCGGCAGTGGGCGGGATCAAAGTGCTCGCCGAAATGGGAGAGCTGCACCGTGCGTCTACAGTCCACATCGTTCTCACAGTATGCCACCTGGGGGAGGGGAGGGGAGACAAGGGGGAAGGGGAGGAAGGGATAAAAGGGGGAATGGGATGGTGGGGCAAGGGGGAATGGAAGAGGGGAAAAGGGAATGGGGAGGGGAGCACAAAAGGGAAGGAACGTGTGTGTTAGCAACAACCGTCGCAGGAGCGGCGGCAGTGGGCGGAGTCAAAGCGCTCGCCGAAATGCGACAGCTGCACCGTGCGTCTACAGTCCAGGTCGTTTTCACAGTATGCCACCTGGTGGGGGGAGGGGGTTGGGGGGACAGAAAGAACGGGGAAAGAGTGAGGGGGACAATGGGGAAGGGAAGAGGGTAGAGGGGAATGGGGAGGGGATGACAAAAGGGAAGGAAGGAGCATGTGTGTGTGCGGACAGCAGTTGTCGCAGGAGCGGCGGCAGTGGGCGGGGTCAAAGCGCTCGCCGAAGTGTGAGAGCTGCACCGTGCGTCTACAGTCCACATCGTTCTCACAGTATGCCACCTGGTGGGGGGAGGGTGTGTTTTGAGTCGACTCAAAACACACCGTTCTCACAGTATGCCACCTGGTAGTGCAGAGGGGCAAGACAAGGGGGAAGGGGAGGGGTGCGTGAAGCAGGAGGCTGCAGAGGTGTGTGCCAACACCGCTGTCATTCTCACTGTATGCTGGCTGCAGTGCGGTGTGAGCAGTGTCATGACTCACCATGCGACTCACCATGCGACTCACCCATGCGGTGCTGCTGAGTCACCCTGCAGTGCATCTCTGAATCACCATGCAAGTCAGCTGACTCACCATGCAAGTCAGCTGACTCACCATGCGGTGCAAATTATCCAGATTCGTTTCCAGCTGCTGCTGTGGCCCCATGCCCCCTCTGCCGCCTGCCCCTCCGCCCCTCCCACCTGCAGCCTCTGCTGCTCCCTGCAGCAGCATGTGCTTCACCCGAGCCTGGAGTGAAAGGCGAAGAGAGGAGGGGGGAGAGGGGAGGGGGACGACGGGGAATGACGCCCCAAATAATACCTCTCCCTGCAGCACGTGTCCCATCAGCGTTTGGGGGAAGGGAGCAGCTTTTAGAGTGATATACTGTCTTGTGATCTCACATGAGTGACACCTTACATACATGTAAGGTTGAATCTGTTTTTGAGAGTTCTCAAAAACTGTTTTTTGAGAGTTATTTAGCAGGGAAAAAAAAAAAAAAAAAACAAACAAACAAACAAACAAACAAAAAAACCAGAGTCTTGGATCCCCTTTCATGATTTCCGGAGATAATAACAAATTAACTCACGTAATCCCCGTAGCTGTACATGAGGACGCAGGTGGCTGGTAGGTTGTCCCTTCCTGCTCGCCCTGACTCCTGTGAGCGAGCCCAGCAAAGGGAAATTACAGAAAGATCGTGTGAGGCAGCAGAATGAGATTGTCTACCCCATAACACTCCTGCGTGGGCGAAAGCTTTTCGTAAACGGAAGCTTTGCGTGGGTGGATAAACAATCCAAACTTTCGTGTGATTGTTATTCCTTTCCTCTCAATAGAAGAAAAATATGCGTGACAAAAATGCATGCAGCCTGTTGCTGTGATGGACGACTTTTGAGTTGACTCAAAAGTCACCTCGTTGCCATGATGGGCGGACGGTGGACGGACGGAGGTGATGGAAAGCTTTTGAGTGGTTATCAGGATCAAGTGGTTAAGAGCGACACAGTGCAGTGCAATGCCATGCAGTGCGGTTTATTGTGTGACCTGGTGGTATCCTTCGATGCTCTTGGGGAGAGAGTGGTGGATGACAAAACGAACATCAGGCTTGTTGATGCCTGCGGTGTGCAGCGAGGGGGAAGAACAGCGAAAGGACAGGGATGGGAGAGTGGAACGGGTCAACGATTGTGAAAAAAATAACCACAAGTTTGTGTGGCGAAAGAGAGATGAAAGCACTCCCAAGTGACCCACGCCAAACGCCACACTCGCGCACCCACCCATGCCGAATGCGACAGTGGCACAGATGACGTTGATCTCGTCCTTGCTCCACCTCCTCTGCACGTCTGCCCGCTCGCCTGCTGCCATGTTGGCATGGTAGAACCCCGCCCTGTGGCCCAACTTCTGCCATGCCATGCCATGCCACGCCATGCCATGCCATGCCATGCAAAGCAGATTGGAGGACAAGAGTGAGTGGAGGCGAGAGGTTAAGCTTGTGAGACGTCTCAAAAGTCAGCTCCACTTCCTCTGCACGTCTGCCCGCTCGCCTGCTGCCGCCATGGCGTGATGTCGCAGTGACAAGCTGATTGAATAAAAAGCGGTGAGTGGCGAGGAGAGATTGGGCTACATAACCCGTGAAACGTGTGAACAGCCAGCCGATGGGGAAATCGGGGAAAGGACAAGCCAAGTACACAATACCAGAAGCGTCTTAAGAACCTGCCTTGTCTCCTGCACTCATGAGCTCGACTGGACTCCCATTTTCAGCTCCCTGAATCTGTTTTTGGGGAATTCTAAAAAAAACAGAGTCGATTGTGAGCTACCTCGAGCTATGGTTTGCTGAGAGCACTGAGCGCAAGTCACAGTACGACCCCTTAGTGCTCTCATCACATCTGTCAGTCCCCACGCCACTCACTGTGAGCTGCTCGGCAGTGGCAGTACACAATGCCTGGCTCTCTGAAGAACTGACTGTGGTGTGAGCTACGTCAAGCTATGACTTGCTGAAAGCGCAACTCACACTCTTTCATTTGATCCTCTGACATGCAAGCGCCACTCACGGTGAGCTGCTCGGCAGTCTTCTCGCAGTCATTCCTTGAGAGGCAGTACACAATGCCCGACTCTCTGAAGAACCCGCTGCTGCGGATGAACGAGTCTATGTCATCCATGCACCGCCGCCCCTTCGCCCTCACCTCGTACCTGCACGGTGTGGTGTGGTGCGGTGCGGTGACGAGCATGTGCGGTGAGGAGCATGAGCGGAAAGGTACGGTGCGGTGTGGTGAGCTTCGGACAGTTGAAGGGCTGTGTGAAGACGACAAACATTGGCATGATTCTTGAGTCAACTCACAAGTAAGCACTGTATCCCTCACACAACCTCTCTTCCCCTAATTGTGGTTGGGGAAATCAAACGTATACTTTTACATCACACATTGGCGTCACCGTCTACTAATACAAACCACGGTTCACCTCCCTCCCTGTATGTACCTTCACACACTCCCCTCACACCTGAGGTTTGGGCAGCCCCTGTGTTTACACCACATGTTTGGGGTCACAGTCACTTACCCGTTTTCTCACGATTCACCTCCCTGCATTCCCACACAACTTCTTCTCTCCTTCCCCCCCCCCTACCTGAGGTTGGGGCGGTTGAAGGTCTGTTTGAAGACAACACACTGCTTGAGGCAGAGAGCACTGACCACGTCAGCCTGCACTGCATGGGTGGCCGTGGCTGTCAGCGCCATCAGCGGTACTGACGGGAATTTGCTCTTTAGCACACCCAGGCCCTGGTGGAGGAAAACAGGGAGAGAGGGGCGTGGGGACTTGTTCTTGAGCACAGCATGGGTGGCCGGGGCTGTGAGCGCCATCAGTGGCACCGATGGGAATTTGCTCTTCAGCACACCCGGGCCCTGGTGGACGGGGGGCGAGAGGGGCGTGGAAAATCGCTTTTCAGCACGCCCAGTCCCTTATGGAGGGGGAGAGGGAGGCGTGGGGACTTGCTGTGAGCACTGCATGGGTGGCCGGGGCTGTGAGTGCCATCAATGGCACCCAGGGGAACTTGCTCTTCAGCACACCCGGACCCTGGTGGATGGACGAAGAGCGAGGAAGGCCAGGGTAACATGAGGGCGTGTTAATATGCGGTTACGTTACAAGCTTTAGGGTTTCTAATACAACGGGATTTTTTCGCGAGCGTACAGCAGCAAGGCACTCTTGAGTCAACTCGGCTTCACTCTACATCTCAATCACTCTTACTTGGCAATAATATCCACACACTAATCCATCTGCTCACCTTAATATCTGACATCACTGGCACACCTGGTAGTCGGGGCGGAAGTCGTGCCCCCACTGGCTCACACAGTGTGCCTCGTCCACCACCATGCGCACCAGCAGGTCCCGCCGGTACAGCCCCTCGAGGTGCCGAAACAGGTTGTCACTCCTGCACATTACAGGCAAGCAAAGAGAGAAACTACTGATTTCATGGGGTTCTCGCGCCTGCCACCACTTGCCACCGTGCGCAGCAGCAGGTCCCACCGGTACAGCCCCTCCAGATGCCGAAACAGGTTGTCGCTCCTGCACTCCATGAACACACACACACACACACACACACACACACACACACACACACACACACACACACACACACACACACAAGTTTCAAAGGAAAAGAAGCAGACGGGTGAGTGAGTGAGGGAGAAAGTGGGGAAGGAGAGGAAAAGCGGAGGAAAGGGGCCGGTGTGGAGGTCGTGAAATCTTTCATTCCACCTAGGAGCATTTCACTACATGGTGGTTTCTATGGGGTGACATAGAGCAGCTAGATTTGGCAACAGGGCGAACAGAGCTGCTGACCTCGCATTACTGTCCCACCTGCAACCACTGGCCCACCTATCACCACTCGCCCCCTGCCTGCAATCTCACGATACTCTTCCCCTTCCTGCCACCACTCCCCCCACTGCCCACACTGCCCCACCTGGCGATCTTCTCCGGGGTGACGTAGAGCAGCTTGATCTGGCAGCACGGCGAGCAGAGCTCCTGCAGGATGCGCTGCTGCTCCGGCCACTCCTGGCTCGCACTCAGACAGGCCGCAGGGATGTTGTACTGTCGTGTGATGCAGGGGTGGGGTGCGGTGTGCAGGTGTAGAGATAGAGTGCAGAATGGTGTGGTGCACGTATGTCCAGGGGAACCAAGAAGTGGGGAGTGGAAGCAGAGGGAATGCATTTTCTCTGGCCACTCTTGGCCGGCTCTCAGGCAGGCAGTGGGGATTTCGTACTGCCGAGTGCAGACGCAGCAGAAGGGCAGTGTGGCGGAAGAGAGAGTTTGAGGCAGACAAAGAGCATTCGTGAATGAATGCCTTAGGGCTGATGCAGGAGTTACAAATACATCTACCCCATCGCAGCAGGCACACCTGCTCAAGGTGCATGATCTGGTCGCACCTGTTCGAGGTGCATGATCTGGTCGCAGATGAGGGAGATGAGCGGCGACACCACCAGCGTGACTCCAGGCGAGCACACTGCTGGGAGCTGAGGTAAAGGTTTGGGGTGGGGGGGGGAGGGAAGGGGGGGGTTGTTATTGAAAGCATCAGAGTGATTGAGGTGCATGTTCTGGTAACGGATGAGGGAGATGAATGGCAACACCACCAGTGTGACTCCATGCGAGGCGAGCACACTGCTGGGAGCTGATGCAAAGAAGAGGGCAAGCTCATTGGAGGCGCGTGAAAGGTGGGGTAGCTAGTAGGATTTTTTTTCGAAGACTGGAGCTGAGTCAAGAAATCTCACCTCACCTCACATCAGCTCACCTCCACCGCACCTCACCCCACCTCACCTGGTATGTGAGGCTCTTGCCCCCGCCCGTGGGCATGAGCACAAACACGTCTCTACCACTCATGGTAGCATTCATCACCTCCCTCTGATTCGCCCGGAAAGACCGGTTGCCAAACAGCTTCCAGTTGTGCTCCTAAGAGGTTTGGTAGCGGGGGGGAGGAGATAGAGAGGGAGGGAGAGGAGAGAGACAAGAGGAATGAGCGTGAAAGAAACGAGGAGAGAAGGTGGAGAGAAGAGAGAGAGAGAGAGAGAGCGGCAAGAACAAAGGAGCAGAGCAAACCAGGAGGGGACTTTCAAACCTCCCAGCCTCTGATCCCATGCCCCTACCCGCACTAACTCCCACACCTCTCACCTCCAGCTCTCGCGTCCATGCAAAGTCCTTGCGAGCCCACAGCTTGTCCGCCGACCCCTCACTGAACCGCACCTCCGACAGACACACCGGCACCACCTCCCCCCTCCTCGCTGCCCCACCATTCTCGTCCCCTCCTCCTCCCCCCGGGGGAGATGTAAACCCTCCTCCTCCTCCTCCTCCTCTCCCTCCTCCTCCTCCTCCCCCTCCTCCTGCGTGCCCTGCTCCTACTCCCCCATACCCTCCCCCGTTCACTGCTCCGTATCCTCCTCCGTTGGAAAACGAGAGCCCTCCTCCGCCATTGCTCATCGCTCCATTCACAGCTGCATAGCCTCCGTTTGTGCCTCCTGCAGCAGCGCTCATTCCACCTGACCCATACATGCCTGCTGCTGCAAACGACCCTGCGTTGCCTGCCGCTGATCCCACACCTGCTGCTGGGCCCATGCCTGTTGCTTGTTTAGCACCCAGAGTGGAGGAGGGAGGAGTGGGGCGGGAAGGAGGAGGAGAGGACCAGGTGCTTCTGGGAGGTGTGCTCCAGCCATTGGATGACGGCATGGGCCGAGAGCCAGGTGTGGTGAAGGATGGGGTGGCAGGACGGTAGGGATGGGTGGAGGGTGGTGAGGAGTGGTTGAAGTGTGGTGATGATGTGTGCATGGCAGGTGATGGAGAGGAGAGGTGAGGGGAGGTCGTTGCGCCTTGCTGTGAGTGCTGCTGCAGGGTTTGGATCTCTTGCTGTAGCGACTTTCTGAAAGATGTGGAGGGTGTTGGGGTGGGGAGGATTGGGTGTTGGGACAGGGGGTTATTTTGGAAGAGTGTGAGGGCGCAAGGCCGAGGGGTGAAATTGAGGGATGCAGGACACACAGAAGAGGAACACGGGAGGCTTTTGAAGGGGTAAGGAACCTGAGGTGCAGATTCAGAAAGGAGGAGAGACGAAGGGGCCAGGGACGGTAGAAGGGAGAAAAGGGTTCAGAGCTCGTCGTTTGAGGCGCCTCAAAAGCTCTCCCCACAACCAACAGTCACCCTCACTACCTGCGCAGTCGGAGCTCTTCTGCCCGCCGGGGGCTCATGTCTCCAGCGTTGTCCAGCAGGTCGTTGGACACGTCTAGCAGCTCGTTCTTGCGCTCCTGGATGTGTGCTTGTAGCGAGGGGCACTGCACCAGCTGCATGCACATGAGGGAGAGTGTTGAGGAGGAGTTAAAAAAAGAGTTTATTAGGTGCTTAGAGATCGTTGGCGCGTCTAGCAGCTCGTTCTTGCGCTCCTGGACGTAGGCTTGCAGCGAGGGGCACTGCACCAGCTGCACTGCAAGCACGAAGGGAGCATGATAGGAGCATAGCGGGTTGCATTGTTGTAAAAGGGTGCATTGGACGAAGCAACAATGCAACCCGCTGCATAGGATGATAGGTTGCATTGTTGTAAAAGGGTGCATTGGACGAAACAACAATGCAACCCGCTGCATAGGATGATAGGTTGCATTGTTGTAAAAGGGTGCATTGGACGAAACAACAAGCACATAGCATGCGATGGCATGGGAATACGACGGCTGTGGTGCACAGCACAGATACAGCATGCATGGCATGGCTGGCGTTGCATGGCAGAGCATAGCATGGTCTTGCATTGCATGGCAGGGCACGTCGTGCATCGCAGAGCATGGCATGGCATGGTGTGGCACGCTTTGCACTGGATGGCTCAGCCATTGGAAAATGAGAAAATGAGAACATGAGTGGTGCTCGCAGTGCCTGCGGCTATGTTGAAATGGAGTCACCTTTGGGGATTTTCGCGACACTCACAGGCATGCCATGGGAGCATGGTTGCTGCAGCAGAGGGGAGAGAGGCGGAGGAGTGTTCCAGTTAGTTGCTCCTTGCCCGTAGCTGTTGAGATTCTGCCGTTCGCTTTGAGGCTGAACACCCTGATGCTGCTTGTCTGGTGCAACATTCCCTTGCTGTGCCCTGCTCTTGTCTGGTGTGCCGCTGTGTTGCTGCTGCTGAGTTGACTGCCTCACCAGCTCATCCACGTCTATGTCCTGTTGCCCCCACACATGCACACACACACACACACACACACACACACACACACACACACATACATACATATGCATAGGTACATACGCATAGGTACACATGAAGACACGCTACAAGAATGTGCACGCACGTGCACACTCAGAGGCAGACACACACGAGCGTGCACCCACACACACATTCAGTCACGCAAACATGCACGCACACACACACACACACACACACATGCACGTGCATGAGCACGCTCGTTCACCGCTATATACACAGAAGCACGTGCCTACTGCGACAGGAGCACGTGCCTACTGCGACAGGAGCACGTGCCTACTGCGACAGGAGCACGCGCCTGCCGACACAGGCACACGCGCCTCCTGCCAGCACCACCCACCTGGAACAGCTCATCATCATCGAACAGACTCCCACCCTCCTGCCGAGGCTGCTGTTGCTGCTGCTGCTGCTGACCCTGGAGCTGAGGCTCGGTTGAACCTGCCGGTCTGGGCCTGTCTGAGTCCAAGCCACCATCTGCCACTCCATGAGACGAACCTGATCTTATCCCAAATTCACCAAACCCCCTCTAAATCCTCCTTCCCCTCCCCAACCCCTCCTCCTCCTCCTCCTCCTCCTCCTCCTCCTCCTCCTCCTCCTCCTCCTCCTCCTCCTCCTCCTCCTCCTCCTCCTCCTCCTCCTCCTCCTCCTCTTCCTCCTCCTCCTCCTCCTCCTCCTCCTCCACCTCCTCCCCCGCCACCAACGAAAGATAAGTTACTACTTGGGTCAGAAGTCAAAGGCGAGGGTTGCGAAACAAATGAACGGCTTGGAAAGGAAGGAGAGGGAGCAGGTTGTGTGTGGGGGGGATGAGTTGGCCTTCCAGGGGCCGTGGTTCCTGGCTTGCAGACGATGGGAGCGGGTGTTTTACTGGCAGTGCTCAGGGATGCGATGGCCTGGTTGGAGGGGTGCGGTGAGATAAGGAGTGGTGGAAGACGATGCTTAGGTCGAATAGCCTAATCACATCTAATCGGACGACCCAGTATGACTGAATGAAAACTGATCCGTTGTAGGCTGCTGCCCACAAAAAAAAAAATGTGCTCTGGTGGAATCGTAGTGTCAAGAAGGAAACATGGAGAGCAATTAGCCTACTCTGCTCTGAAGAAACAGAACGATCTCGTAACATGCGTGAAACCCACCCAGCTACAGTGGGTCCACTGCGGTCGCGTAGAGTGCGACGCAGCAAACGAATGCACGCCAGTGCGTCCCGGCAGACGCTTGCATATGCATCGTACCTGCTCTGCCATTCTGAGGAGCTCGCTGTTAAGTGGAGCGAAGGAGAAGGAGCCACGATCCCTGTATACCGAGAAACGGTGGGTGAGTGGGGAAAGGGACGGGTGGGAGAGCAGGTGGTGTCAAGTATGAGTTTGGAGGAGACGGGATTGCGTTCAGTCTCTGCTAACTGAGACAGCGATCATTTGCTACGGACTGAGACAGTAAGAAGGTGAAGGCGACAGATGCGTGTTTGACGACCCTGGGAGCTTCATGCTGAGTTGGTGCACTGCGGTAAAAAAGAGCCATACACATCTATCTCATTCGTCGCAGTGACACGCGCTAGCCAATGAGGAATACCACGCACCGATCATTTTCAGCCAAGCGTATTCTGCTGGGAGCAGTGGAAAATACGAAGTTTTCCCGCAACCCGTTCCCCGTCGCACAGGATTGCCGCAGCCATGGTTGATGCTGCTGCCAGTTGTTGCGAGGAACGGATACCGCTCCTCTTCCTCCATTTGCTGCTAACCCTGACCCTCTTCCGCTCCCTGACGAAGTTAGTGAGCTTTTTTGGAAACGATCACGACTTCCGTCGTCACCCTCATTGTTCATGCTGACTAACCGAAACGAGTTTTTAACGAGCAAGGAGTCATAGAGTTGTCTGACAACGGAATGTCATGCGAATGCCAGATCCCCTGAGCCACGACAGCCGGTTCGACTCTGAACGACACATAGCCATTCTTAAGTCCTCCAATCCTCGAATAGCCTAGCACGCTCTAAAGCGCACCGAAATTCATAGACCGAATACGATGCTGACCTTCCATTGACTGTGCCTGATAACTTGCGGGTTGAAGGTATTTGGCTACAAACTTCTATGCAAGAGAGTGGTGGCTTTTCACGAATCAGGACAGGTTGAGTTCAAAAGATAACCCCCTCGATATTCCCGTCTCATCCTGAAGTGGCCCAGCGAGTACTGGTTCATTTCCGAAAGATGAGGTCCCGGGATCAAATCCCCCCTGCGGCGTATTCTGCCAGCCCCCAAAAGGGGCTACACAGGTGCTCATCTGGGAGTGGATAGAACAACCTCGTTGACCCAGCGAGGAGTGTAAACAAATGGGGAGGCGGGTTACGACCGACAGCCAGGTGTGGGTAACACCCAGAGGGGTTTCCCCCCCTCCTTTACCTTTACCTCGATATTCCCGTCTCCCGCGAAATAAACACTTCAAAAGCTGACAGACAGCAGAGAGTTTGACGAGAATCCAAAGTTTTGAATTTGTTGGCGAAGAGTTTCGGGTGTTACAAGCTGGAGGCAACACACGAAATAGTTGTTCTGACAAACCCTCGCCGACAGCTCGCTAAGTTGCAGTACAACGGATGTAACTACACCGTGCGAAAAGAGACCGATGCGTCAGGCTGACGCTCAGCGCTCAACGGTACCAGATCGGGGCTCCGTTAGTAGAGCGGTCAAAAATTATATCTGATTACTGTCGTCCTGCTCCTAAAACATATTAAACTAATCAATGGCACAAAATAAAATGAGCAATTACTTTGTGCAACATTAGTTTTCAAGAGTTGGTGGTTCATAATCTTCTGGAGGGGTTATCTGAAGGCCAACCCTTCTAGCTGTATCACGGAGCCTATCTTTGAGCTCAGCTTCTCTGTCGATGTCTATATTGTAGGAGTGCAGCAGACTCTGCATGAGCACGAAGTAAATGGGGAGGTTGGGGATGTGGGGTGGTAAGGAGGTAACCTAATCAGAGGTGTTGAACGCACTCAAGATGCGGAAATGCACACTAACACTGTTCTAGAAAATGCAGGACTTCGAGCACGAGAGGGTTGAGATGTGTATTGATGGATCGCGTATGATGAAAACAGTGGAAGATACCTCCGAGGTGCTCACTAACCCTATCTATCAACGAAGGACACGTGAGAGGATTGCACTGGCGCTTTTATGATTAGACCAGCATGACAGGCGGAGAATAGAGAAGGACACGTTCACCCGTTAGACTGGTCTTAAACCGTCTATTGCTATAATGCTCATTACTGATCCTGGGTGTGCTCACCTTGTGCGAGTGGATAGCGTCGACTAGATCCGCCCAATCCCTCAGCAAAAGAATGCGGCTAGCCCTGTCAACTCCTGCCACGTCAGCACCACCATTCGCGGCAGCCTCTCTAGCATGGTCCGATGGTAGTCGGTCCCTAGCAGCCCCGTCAGACAAATCTGCAGTGTTCGCTGGGTCTGCGAGAACCATTTCGCGAATAGCATCGCGGGCAAAGCGGTTCCCGGCGACTGCAGTGATGTGGCGATCGGCGATGCGAAGAGCGTGGCGATAAACGCGAAGGACGTCGGAACGAGATGCCATGCTGGTGATGGTATGGGGAGGAAGCTAATTTCGTAGCAGTGCCGTGTTTACACGCACTAGTAAAAGCCAGGCTTTAGCTGGAGAGTGTATGGAGGGGATGAAGTTTTGTAACGAATCCTGAGGATTGGAGGGATGACACATAATAAGCAAAAATTCCAGGAGTTACTCCTTTTTTTTCTTGTAATTTATGTCTCCTACACAAATGAGTAGTAGGTTCAACCTATGGCATCCTATATCTACTTCAAATTCTGGTCGGTCGCATACGAGGTGTTACGCCCAGGTCCTCGCTGTCAGACGTGCTTTTTGTTTTTCTAAGTTTTGATACGTTTTATTCCAAACCCCAACTAATCTGGTTCTTTAAAAATGCTTTATCTTATCGGATGGATACAAAATGACCATTTCTATCTTATTCAACATAAATTATCCTATGTTTCATCTGAAACCGATGCATTTTAGATTGCGGAGATTTTCCGCAAAATATGTTGTGACGGGACGAATTTGTTATGACCGGATAAATATCTTGTGTTGCAACAGAGCGAATATGATGTGACGGTATTTTTTTTCTGCGATTGGGCGATGCTGCTGGGATCAGCCGATTCTGAATCACTTGTCTCAGTAAACGTGAAATTAGATTTTTATGTCGGTATTTGAATCGTTACACTATGCCTTATCTAAAATATGATGGTGTTAGGAATGCGAACGGATTAAAACGAACCAGCAACAGTTCAGTACAAATAGAAAACCCTAAAAATGTTGTACCTTCTACTGCATGGCTCACTCTAGCCTTCCATAAACATAACATTTGACAGATGGGCCCGAATTATCTGTCTGCTAAATAGAGTCATTTTAAATCATAGTGAGGACCTTGGATAGACACTAAACTGGTATAAGCCCCTTACAATGTCAGTGTTAGACAAATAGAACATATATATAAGGTGATCACCAACGTGTTCACTTTTCTTAACCGTGCACTAGTTCACAGCTAGTGCGTGGCAGCAGTGCGTGCAGCAGTAGAGCGCGCCGCAGCAGTGGAGCGAGATAGCGTGCGGTGTATTCAAGCTTGTTACAAGCCTTCAGAAGGCCCCGTCCCATCCCAGCCCGATGCAGTGTACCGGCTCGTGCCACATGTCGTAACGCATCACTGATGCGCATGGTGCAATGTTGAAATGTTGCACCATGCGACCGATCAATGATGCGGGCCGATGATGTAATGGATTATTGTTGCGAGGTCATGATAAGATTGCACGACAAGTATAGTGTGTTAGAGTGAGAATCTTGGATAAGATAGATCTACCTTAGAAAGATTTGGTAGCGGAAGTCTTGTGGTAGGAACCTTGTGCGTAGTGAATGTAAATGACAAGATTGATTGAAATTTAAAATTATACACGATGAATAGATCTAACTAGTCATGTACTCTAAGGGGTACATCACATTTTATAACTGTTTTACATGTATTTTCATAGTGGTTATTGACTAATGCACTTCTCCTGTTATCAAGTCGCTGCGTGTAACTATATGAACGGTTACACCTGTTCCATTCTTCGCTTGGCGAGTCGTTCGGTCCAGATGGTCAACAGTCGCGACAGTTGACCTTTACGACTGGCGACCTTCCTGCCCTTGTATGGGCTGATCTTATACTGCCGCTAGCGCTGCTTCGATGGTGATGGGTGCGATTCAGCTGCACCTTCGAAAATGCTAAAGTTGATTCCCTGAATTGTATAAATTTCGCGAAGCCATTCAGTCTTTTAAAGAAGAAGAAGAAAAAAAATATATACAACAACAACCAACCAACATTCTCGTATATGAGCACCATCTGTGAGCATGGAGACTGTTATAATGATGCACCGACTGAATTAGGCCCTTGTTTCGCAATGTTCCAAGCTGATGATAGTAACTGAGCCTCAGGAAGGTGACTCGCAAATTCGAACCAAGCGGAGAAGAAATGACGGCTCATAAGATAACAGGTGCTATTACGTACGGTTGAGTGCGTCAAATTTTGCTTATACAAGCCGTTTTGTCCATACATCCGGAAGTCAGCATAGCGAGAAACAGGGTGTATTGTCAGGGGTGGTGTTCATACGCGCACTGCAGCGGGATGAACGTGGGACAACAACACAGCTTGATCGCCCCAAAACGAATCAATAGCGGTGATCGCATCGGTCATGAGGTGATCTGCTTGTTCTTGAAGATTTCTGTTGTGGCTGTAATTGCCCGTTGACATGCGATGAGGCAAACGAATGGACAGACTTCGCTCAAAGATTCTTCTCGGTCAGGTTAGCCATCCGCACCATTCACGAGCGAGGACTGACTGTTGAAATCTTCACAGCCGCACAGCTTCAGAGCAGCGCTGTCGGGCTCTCGTGTGTCGAAATGATTGCGTCGAGAGGGAAGAAAGGACACGGGCAGCTCCAGCAATTTGGGAATTGAGGTGAGTATCTGAAGGCTGATCCGGACCGTCCGTGGGGCTTCACTTGTCAGTACAGTACCCCTTCAAACCCTATTTCTGGCTTACACGGTCCTTTTCCGTTCTTGCCCATTCCATCCAGTCCGAACCGTATAATTGTGGGAGGCGAACATAACGAGCAACGTTTGCCATTTCCCCTGCTGACTGAAAGGTTGTGTTTGTGTCTGGTCTGGCTCTGTCTGGCCATGGAATCAGAGTCATTCTCCTCCACGCACTAAACTGGACAACCCTGAAGTTTCACGAGTGAGTCCAGGAAGATGGTGCACAGATGCTGTAGAAGCCTGTCGTAACCCTAACTCAGCGATCTTGAAAGCTCACCCTTCTTGCCTACGTCTAGGACGATCGATTAGGAAGGTTTCTGGAGTAACTTAGCTTGACCGCAGCGTTCTCAAAGCCAAGGGATATGTTCTATCGTGCCTGATTGTGCTGCATTTCGCGTTAGTGTCGAGTAAAGATGAATAGCGTAGGAGCATCCGTAAGCCAGTCGGCGTCGCAGGACGACGGCCAGAAGAAGATTCGGAAGCCGTATACGATCACCAAGTCTAGGGAGAGCTGGACAGAGCAGGAGCATGACAAATTCCTAGAAGCCTTGCAGCTGTATGTCCTAATTTTAGTACCTTTTCGAGAACAACGTTCTTTTACCAAATTGGATAATTTACTGTTTCCGGCAATTCTCCTTGACGCTCAGTAATTTAGTATATTTTTCATGGTTCTGTGTCCGTTCACAGATTTGACCGGGACTGGAAGAAGATAGAGTCATTCGTCGGAACCAAATCGGTGATTCAGGTCGGTGGTAGAATTCTTGAGTTATTTTCCAATTTTTTGCCAAGATTCTTCGCTAGGATAGCATTACGTCAATATCCCTCACCGTCACCTACAATTTCCATCAGCACGTCGACAGCAACTGCTATTGCAAATTGCGAGCCGGATCAAATCATGCCCGCATAGAGCACTACGATAGCGAGCTGCTTCTGACGAAATTCTCTGTACTGCAGATTAGGAGCCACGCGCAGAAGTACTTTCTTAAGGTTCAGAAGAACGGCACGGGAGAGCACGTACCCCCGCCGAGGCCGAAGCGTAAATCCACGCAGCCGTACCCTCAGAAGGCCAGCAGCTCAAAATCAGGAGGTAATTTCCATCACAGCGTTCCCTCTAATTAGTTGTGTCAATAGACCGAGGTGATTTTTGAGTCGACTTAGAATTCACCACCGTACCCTCAGAAGGCCAGCAGCTCAGAATCAAGAGGGTTTTTTCTTCGCAGCTTCGTCTCTAGCCGATTAGCATTGCTCCTAGCGTTCTGTTATTTTCCAACAGGAATGTCACATCGTTTGGGCGTAGTCATCCCCATAACGTTTTTGTTCCTCCTTGTCATGCCATCCTAAAACCAGTATCAACCGTCACCTTTCGACAAAAATGTAGCCTGCGTCACCTCTACACCTACACCCGCTCCCCTCTCCTCCCCCGCATCTCAATTCCCCTTTCTTTGCCCCCACCGACCCAATTCCCCCCTCTCCACGTCCCCTCCGCGGTACCACACCCCGCAGCATGCGGCGACGCAGGACCCAATTTTCCAGGCGGGGGACTGCCGGGTCCGCTCCCCTCCCCGTTCCCGCCAGGAGCGCTGATCCCCTCCGCGTCCGCCGCGAGCCTGGCGTCGCCGTCCTCCTCCACCCCGTCCGCCATGGCGGCAATGAGCATGTCGGGCCTGGGTCACGGGCTCGGCGGGTCCGTCGGCGCGTCTCTGGCGTCCCTGGGAGTGTCGGGGAGTCATGGCGACGCGGCGGCAGCGGCGGCGGCGGGGGGCGCGGGGATGGCGGGATTGGCGGGGATGGGGCCGGTGGCGGGGATGGCGGGGATGGGGGGAATGGGGGGAATGGCGGGGATCACGGGGATGACGGGGATGGCGGGAATGACGGCTATGGCGGGGATGGCGGGGACGAGTGGGTGGATGCACCACGGCATGCATCCGCCGGGAGCCGTTTCGCTTGCTGGCAGAGGTGCGTGACTGTGGCGTTTGCAGTGGCTATCATTGTTGTCATTCTTGTGGTTGCGGTCGGTAGCGTTTTGTTGAAGTCGAAAGCGTTTTATTGCGGTTGAAAGCGGTTTGTTGCGGTCGAGAGCGTTTTGTTGCGGTCAGAGGCAGTTGTTGGGAACCAGTTATCTTGCTGTAGCTGCCTCGGCTGTCCCCGTGCTATCTTTCTGGCTTTGGTGTAGGATTTGTTGTTGGCTGTTGCAGATTTGATATTTTTCTTCAACTTAGTTGATCCGGTTCTTTCATGCGCCCATCCGTGCGGGGTACAGGCGGCGGGGCGGCGAGCATGGGGGCCGTGGCGGAGGGGCTGATGGCGGGGGCGGCGCAACTAGGCGGCGGCACCAGTGCGGCGGGAGCCATGTGGATGGCGCAAGCCCAGGTGCGCTCCCCCGTGCGTGCTAAGTCTCACTATTCTGCTTCCGTCGCGCACGCAGCTTTCCTCCATGCCCATTCCGCGGCACTCTCATTCCCACCATGCTCATTCCGCGTGCGCGCAGCGTCCCCCTATCTCAGCGGCTCCATCAGCCCATGCCTACCTCGCCTGATTTCGCACCTATCGCTTTCCCTCCGTGGTCTCGCTTCTACGCTGGTTCCGTTTCCGAGCTGTTTCCGCCGCCATCGTTTGCGAATGCCGCGTCTCATATTGTCGCGCCATTTTCGCCCCGTCCTGTCCGTTCCCGTGCGCCAACCAAGCAGCGACAGCAGTCGGCGGGGAACGCCAGCGAGCAGAGAGTTCGAGGTAAGGATGCCGCGGGCCCTGCCCACACACACTCACACTCTCGTTCGCACACTCTCGTTCGCACACTCTCGTTCGCACACTCTCGTTTATACACTCTCGCGACGCTGCTTTCCATGTAAATTTTGCGTCCCTTTCTTCGCCACGCCTCTCGCTTCTCTCGCCTCTCGTCCTCACCTCTGCCTCTTTCCATCTTCTCACCTTTCCTCGCCCTCTCTCATCCCCTTACTGTCCTCCCCCCGCTAATCCTCTCAACCGCTGTCTCGCTCTTCCTCCCTTCCGCCTCTCCTCACTCGCCCCACCCCAGCGACGCCGGTCTTGGCGGAGGTCTATTGATTGATTCACGTGGCTCGTCTTCAGCCCGTCCTCCCGTCCATTCTCGTTGCCTCTCTTCCCCCTGCTCGTGCCCTCACAGCAACCCCGGATTTCGCGGAGGTGTATCGGTTCATAGGGCTCGTGTTCGACCCGTCCACGTCGGGCCACCTCGCGCACCTCAAGGCCATGGCGCCCATCGACCGCGAAACTGTGAGACTCGCCGCCCATAGCTCGTTGTAGACTCACGGCGCGTAGATACCGCAAATCCATTGGTTAGGATTTTTGAGAATTCTCAAAAATCACTCGCAAGGATTTATGCGTGTAGATACTGCAATCCCAATGATTTTCACGACTCATTGTTTAGGCGATTGGACCCACCTTCACCGTCATTTGTATGCCTCAACCCTTCCGTCCATCAAACTGTTCCGCGTTTCCCCTGCTGTCTGCTTCTCCCCGCGACAGGTGCTCCTGCTCATGCGAAACCTCTCAATGAACCTCGCCAACCCCGAGTTTCAGCAGCATGTAAGCCCTGTTCTCCTACTGTAGTAAGTCAATTCTTTAGTCTCGACTCAAAAACCGGCATGTAAGCCCTGTTCCCCTGCTTGATTCTGCTCCTCTTTACCTTTCCACGAGCCTCGTGAACCCGGAACAGCGGCATGTAACTCGTGTCGCTGTGCCTTTTTGCCATGAGCTTTGCTCGTGCGGCTTCTGATGGGCATGTGCGTGCACCCGCCTTCCTCTTGCCCGTTCCCTTCATCTTTTCCCTTAGCTCGTTGCCCTCGCTCCTACCACAAGGCTTGTGCTAGGAGCGTGGACTCGGGTGTCATGCCACGCATGCTTTCGCTGCACCACCAGCCTTCATCTCGCTCGTTCTCTTGTTCCAGGACGCGTTCGTGCAACCCATGTGAAGCAGGGGCAGGCACCAACGACGCCGCTGAGGTGACTCCTCCTGAGTCGACTCTATGAATTCTCAGACTTGATGTGGTTCGCCTGTGGTTCGATCGTTCTCTTGCCCCAGGATGCGTTCATGCAACTCATGAGAGGCACGGGTGGCAACGACGGAGCAGCACCAGCTGTAGCACCAGCCGCAGCACCAGACGTAGCCACAACAGCAGGCGCAGCAGCAAACACAGACGCAGCAGCAGGCCCTGCAGCAGCAGGAGCAGCAGCCGATACGACTGCAGGAGCGGCAGCAGGAAGCCGGGAGGCAGAGGACAAGGCGTCTAAGGAAGCTTCAGCTGATGCAGCAGAGGGGTCACGGAAGGGCGAGGAGAAGGCGACAAGGCCGACACAGGCCTTGGAGCAAAGACCAGGGAGTGCTGCGGGCAATGCGAAGGTGGAGGAAGGCAGAGGGGAGGCGGGCAGAGGGGAGGCGGGCAGAGGGGAGACGGGCAGAGCGGAGACGGGCAGGGTGGGGGAGAGCAGGGAGGGTGCAGATGCTACAGCTGCTTCTCGAGAGGCTGCAGTGGAGCGAGCAGCAGAGGGGGGTGGGGCAGTGCGAATGGAGGTGGAAGGAGGAGAGGCGAGGCGGCCAGGTGATGGAGAGGAACTAGTTGACGGAGTCAATGGGGTCAACGCAGTTAATGGTGTCGCAGAGGTGCAACAGCTGCATGATGCGCGCACCAGCCCAGCTGGTGCTGACGATGCAAGCGGCGCTGGTGCTGCTGATGGTTGTGCTGGTGGTGGCGCTGGTGGTGCTGGTGGTGGTGGTGCTGGTGGTGCTGATGCCTGTGGTGGTGGTGGTGCTGGTGGTGCTGCTACCTGTGGTGGTGGTGGTGCTGGTGGTGCTGCTACCTGTGGTGGTGGTGCGGCTGCTGAGTCACATAAGAGAGATGTGGCTGGAGAGGCAGCAACCGATGCAGGGGAACAACGGGGTGCCTGTGACAGCGCGCAGAGGTTGCAGTCGGAAGGGGGTGGTGGGGGAGGAGGAGAAGCAGGAGCGGCAGGCGGAGGAGCAAGAGGAGGGGAGGGAGGAGCAGGCACAGTGGAGGCCGGAACCGTCGCATCGACTGGCCCGGCGTCTGTATCTGCCGCTGCAGCTGGCGCGAGCTCGGCCTCAGCAGCAGCAGCCGCTGTTGCAGCTGCAGTAGCAGCAGGAAGAGGAGGAGGAGCATCCGCAAACGCCAACGCCAACGCCAACGCCAACGCATCACAATCAGTGTCAACCCTGTCAGGACTCCGGAGTCAACCAGCCTTCTCCTCATTGCCTCGCTCCCAGTCGTCCCCTGCGCCCACCACCGCCTCTGGCCCACTCTCCGCTTCTCACCCCGACCATCTCCTTCCCCACAACCACCAGGCGCTGCTCACAGCCATGCGCGGAGGCGCTAGCAGCCTAGGGGGGGGTGACGTGCCCCGCGCCACAATAGGAGGAGACCTGCCCAGCAGCATGCGGGGCCATGTTTCCCGTGGGGTAGGAGTGGGGGGAGAGATGGGTCTGGGGGGCGGGGCGGATGTGGAGGAGCTCTTCATCATGTCCCACATGATGTCTGCCTGGCCGGGCTTTTCCGGGTCCGGATTCTCTGGGTTCGACCTGCCTGAGGATGTCAAGCCGGGTGCGCTGCCCCTCCCTGCGAATCTTCCTGCGAATCTTCCTGTTTCTCTCCCTGCCAATCTCCCTGCTGGGCTGTCTGCGACTCTCCCTGCTGGGCTGTCTGCGACGCCGCCGCTGCAGTACCTGCCGCAATTTGCTGCTGCTGGTGCTGGTGGTTTGGCTGGTTCTGCTGATGCTGCTGCTGGCTATTCCAGTCAGTTTTCTGCTGCTGCAAGAGCTGGTGCTACCGCTGCTGGAACAACCGCTGGCGCCACTACTGCCGCTGCTGGAACAACCGCAGGTGCTACAGCTGCTGGGCCTACAGCAGCCAGTGCTACAGCAGCTGGTGCGACAGCAGCCAGTGCGACAGCAGCCAGTGCGACAGCAGCCAGTGCTACAGCAGCCAGTGGTACAGCAGCCAGTGCTACAGCGACTAGTGCTACAGCGGCTAGTGCTACATCCGTGGCAGCTAGTGGTGGGCGTGTAGCAGGCGAAGGCACGGCTGCTGATGCCTCAGGCTCTGCTGGTGGGAACGCTGCTGCTGCTGGTAATGGCTCTGCTGTTGCTGCTGCTGCTGCTGCTGCTGCTGGTGCTGGTAATGGCACTCTTGGTGCTGGCTTTGGCACTGGTGGTGCTGGTGCATGGCTCATGAACGGCACAGCTGGCCCGAGCGGTCTAGGCAGGATGACTGAGTTGACCGAGTTGACTGGGCTGACTGGCATGGCTGGGCTCAACGCCTTTGGTGCCTGGCCAGGTATGGCAGGCATGGCCGGAGCAGCTGTGGGCTCGGCAGCAGGCGCGGTATCCGAGGCAGGAGCTGAGGCAGCAGGTTCGGCAGCAAGGTCAGCGAGTGGGTTGGGGGCAGGCGTGGGTGGTGGTGGTGCAGGGAAGGGAGTGGGTGCGAGCACAGATGCCGAGGTGCTGGCGCTGACAGCGGCTGTTGCAGCACGAGCAGCAGGGACAGGCAGCAGCGGTTAGTGCTGCTAGTGGCGTCAGTGCTGGTGGTGCTGCTGCTGCTGGTGCTGCTGGTGGCGGTGCCGGTGGTGCTGGGAGTGGTGCTGGTGGTGCTGCCGCTGGGGGTGGTGGTGGTGCTGCTGGGGGTGGTGGTGCTGCTGCTGCTGGGGGTGGTGGTGGTGGTGGTGGGGTGAGCAATGGAGGGGGTCAAGCTGCCATTTGGGCTGGTCGGATGGCAGGGGGGGGTGGCATGGGTGGAGGCATGGCGGGGGGAGGCATGGCAGGCACAGGCCTGGCACCTCCAATGAGAGGCTTGCCGGGAGGCGTTATGATGGCGCGGCCAGCTGGCATGGTGATGATGGGGGGTCATGAAGCGGGTCAAGGCATGGCCAGTGGTATGGGTGGTGGCATGTTGGGTGCAGGCATGGGGGGTATGGGAATGAGTGCAGGAATGGGAGGAAACATAGCTACTGCAGGCTTGGGAGTGCATGCGCGGCCAGGTATGGGTCTAGGTCCGGGATCTGCAGGCATGGGTCTACGTCCGGGAGCTGCAGGTGTGGTGATGGGGGGAGCAGGTATGGGTGCTGCAGGCATGGGTGCTGCAGGGATGGGGGCTACAGGTGTGAGGGGTGGTGCAAGCGCAAGTGCCATGGGCATGGGTGCTGCCCGTCCTGGCATGGCTATGTCTATGCGTATGAACATGGGCATGGGCATGGGGATGGATCCGAGTATGGGTGTGAACATGATGGGTCCTGGTATGGGCATGGGCATGGGCATGAATATGGGTGGGATGCCTATGGGCTTTGGAGACATGGGTATGGGCATGAGACCAGGGATGGGGGTGACTGGCATGAGTGGCGGAGGCGTGGGTATGGGTGGTGTAGGCTCGGGTGGCATGGGTATTCATGGCATGGGTGCTGCTGGTGCAGGTATGGGGAACTACAGTGCCAGTGCTATGGACATGGAAGGTATGATGGACTTGCCAATGCCCATGGGCATGAGTGGGGCATCTGAGCATTTTTACATGCCAGGAATGCTGCCGGGGAGGTTCAAGTTTTCAGGGTCGTCTGGTGCTGCGATTCAAGGGGCAGGAAGTGGTGGTCTTGGTGCACCGTCTTCTCAATTTGGAGGACTTGCAAATAGAATTGCGTCAAGAAGATGACAGTTCCTTGCTGGTGATCATTTAGGTTATGCATATCTGTGCTGGCTTTGCTTGCGTTTCTAAGCTAAATAATAAAGCGTTATTGCTCGGGACATACTAGATCTGTCGATTAAGATGGTTTATAGCGGTTCAGGGAATCTCCACCATCACCTTCACATGAGGACCGTCGTTTTGCGGCAGGTTGGTGCTGCTTTCGTGCCGCCGCCAACGTGCTCAGGTGTTTTCGCAGCTGGCCAGAGGCCATGCTTCATTTGGAAGGCTATTTCCGAAACACCAACTGCCCGTAAACTCAGTAACGAAGCGTTCGGTTCGGGGTGGAAACTGGATGATGTTGGTGTACCATCAGCATGACGTGTACCCAGGTTTAAAACACGTGTTTTCACCACGCTGTCCCACCAACTCCAGCTCTCGTGCCACACGCCACTGTACACATTATTTGCAAAAAAGTAATGCTCTTGTAAGTTGTACAAACGCGAGTCCTGTCCATGTTTCAACCGAACATGGCAGATTATATGTGAGACACTTAGGCCTTCACTCGTTACCCAGACGTTTTTTTTCCGGGAATATCTAATGTGTTTGTGCCCTTTTCCCTGATTGTTCACGTACAGCTGTAATCTAAAGGCAGTACTTTCCGTATATTTTTTGCGTGAGAGAAACAGGCATAAGTGTAAACCATCTGGGTACACTGTACTAGCGGCAAATGCGGTGCCGCACTGTAGCGGAGGGGATGTCCCGCAAGAGCCGCCAACAAGCAGATTTCCATCCACTCCACATCCACAAATCGAACGCCACACTGCATCATTTGACATTTTGTTGGTGGACACTGTTCATCGTGACAAATAATTCCGCTCGTCGGTGAGTACAGCACAGTATTTTTTCCCGCGCTACGTTCCGAATGTTACGGCCTCTAAACCAATAGGGAACTCGCGTCTCGTGGCGTCACCTCACCAGCGCTGCTTCTTCGCTTCTCCGTCTTCCCCATCCCGAACCTTCCCGCTCGAGGCCGCGCAGTCCCCGCACCAACCGCAGCAAGGGCCTTTTCACGGACTGCACTGTATGTCCACCAGCGCGCACAGTCGAATTAGCGCGGACGGGGAAACAGCAACAGCATTCGTCTCCTCCGCGCATGCTTTCCGCGGGGAACGCCAGCTGCAACTCCGCTCCGCATCCGCTGCTGGCTCAAAAGAAAGTTCCTCTCCCCGCCTTCCTTTCGCTTCGCTTGTCCCCTCCCCTCCCTCGCCTCGGTTTTTCCGCGTCATTCGCGCGACGCGCGTTTCTCCCCCTCACCTCGAATCGAAGTCGCCCCCTTCTTTGCCTCAGCTAGCATGAACGCGCACGCCATACACAACCTAGTACATGGAATGTATCACGTTCCTGCTTTTCGATCGCAGTGCTGCTTCCATTTCATCAAATTCTCGCAGCTGATTCCCAGTCTCATCTCATCATCATGCAAACGCGATATTTGAACGCTCCCTTTCCGGCTTGGCTAGCACGCACATGCAACTGCTCCCCCTAAAGTGGCAGCTGACCCTTCGGAGTGCTCTCCATGAGCACACATGGAATCGCTAACATGCTTGCTGATCCGTACTGAAACATAGTTGCAGACTCGCAGTAGCTGACACGAGCTCCGGAGTTAACCTGTTGTACAGCCCCACATCCCGCGCCTTGCTTACCCTATTCCGCTCACCTTACTCCCGTCGCCGCTACGTTGGAGCATTTGGTTCTACAAGGCTAGGTCAGCATGAGTGCGCGCCGCAGTCGGTTATTATCGTGCCTCGCTACAATCACATGGTGCGCGACGTTGCATCTCCGCGCGCTGCCAGCCTCGGCGGCGATCGTCGTCGTAACTCCCAAGAACGCCTCTTACGTCATCAATGACGTCGACGCCAACTTCGGTACGCCCCTTCGTTTCACCTCTGCCGTTTGGTTCGTCGTATTCTCTATTTGCGCTCTCAGCCGGCGCGCAAAAACCCGCCGCGCACTCACCCGCCGCGCAATCACCCGCCACGCAATCACCACCTGAAATGCAGCACGCCTTGCACCGCACCAGCACTGCGCCTCGCGAACCCCGCACTTCACCAGTGTTTCACCCGCTTCCCCGCTGCGAGCGCTTAACTCAGCGAGCACGCGGATTGGGCCCGAGCTGCGAGTCAAGCCACCTTGCAGCGGCCATAGCTGCAACGGCGATGGGTGTGTACTTCCGTGCAGCAGCTCGCGCTTCTGTCCGTTGGCTACAGTGAAACAGTTAACGATCTCCGTCTGCTGCAGTGGAACTGTTGACGCTTGCCGTCTGCGACAGTGAAATTGTTGATGAAATCCTGCAACAAACTTCTGTTCTCCCCCTCCACACGCTTTCCCTCTTTTCTTCCGACGTATCTCCAATCCTTCCCCCACCACCCATTCCCCCCCATCCCCCTGTGTCTCTCCCCCTTTCCCCGCTCTCTACCCACGCCGTCCCCAGGCGGTATCATCCCCTCGAGCGGAATTCGCGGCGTTCTGCGCCGAGCGGAGCCGCTCGACGCGTGTCAGCCGCTCGCGTCCCGCGCAAAGCGCTCTGAGCGGGCCTTCGCGCTGATCACACGTGGCAACTGCCTATTCGACACCAAGGTGCTGAACGCGCAGGTGGCGGGGTACGCGGCCGCGGTAGTGTTCAATAACGAGGATAACGACGAGCTTGTATCGAGTGAGTACAGCACAATAACTAGGCATGTCTGACATGTGTGCTTGCAAGCCTCCTCCGTCTCGCTAAGAAGGGTAAACGTATGTGTCGCCTATGTGCCATCCTACGTGGCACGTACCGCGGAATTAACTTCCTCTGACCTCCTCCCCTTCTATTCCGCGGAGGAGGCGGGCGGATGAAACAAAATATTCCCCCTCCCCCCTCCCCCGCCCGTCGTTCCCTTCCCCCCACCTTCCCTCTCCGCCACTCTAATGTTTGTTCTTTCCCAACCTCCGTAAGACGCCCGCGCTTCCCGTTCGCAATCGCATTTCAGCCAACCCCGCTTCCCCTCCAGATCCGCTCTCGCCATCTGCGCCCCTCACGCGGAAATGCCGGCGGGTCTTGTGGTCCGTATTACCGCGCTGTGCCATGTGGCTGTTCCGCGCTCTTTACCAACCCACCCTCCTATCCCCACGTTCCCCGCCCCCCGTTCTCCCCCCCGCCCGTGCAGTGTCCGCGCGCAACGTGTGGGACGTGGCAATCCCCGCGGTCTACATCTCCCACGCGGACGGTTTTTGAGTCGTCTCAATAATCGCCTCTCCCTCCCCATCCCCCCCCGCGCCCACGCCCCGCAGTGTCGGCGCGCAACGTGTGGACGTGGCAATCCCCGCGGTCTACATCTCCCACGCGGACGGCCATTTGCTCCTCTCGCCCCTCTCACTGTCGCTCGTTCTTTTCCCAACCCCCATCTATCCCCCTACCCGGCCCCCCGTTGTCCCACCCCTCCCCCGCAGTGTCCGCGCGCAACGTGTGGGACGTGGCGATCCCCGCGGTCTACATCTCCCACGCGGACGGCCATTTGCTGCTCTCCCTCCTCGCCGCGCAACCCGCGTCGCTCCTCATCCTCCTCCCCACCCTCTCCGGCTCGCTCCTCCCGCTGCTCGCCGCGGCGCTCCTCGCGCTGCTCACGCTCTCCGTCTTCCTCTCCGCGTTTCTAATCATTATGCGCCAGCAGCGGATACGGCGCGCGCTCGAGGAGGCGCGGAGGGGGGGCGCGTGGGGGGCCGCGTGGGGGGCCGCGGGGGCGGAAGCGGAAGCCGCCGAGGGAATGGGGGAGGAGGGGCTGGTGGTGATGCGCGCGCTGCTGCTTCCGCAGCCGCAGCTTGATAAGCGCATCGGCTTATCAGCTGCGGAGCTGAAAGCGCTTCCGGAAATAACGTACTCGCCTTCTATGGAAGATCTCGCGGAAGCTTGTAAAGGGGATAATGGAGTAGAGGCAGGGGAGGATGGGTATGAGTTGGGAGGAGATGTGGAAGGGGGGAGGGATCCTGGGAAAAACGAGGGGGGAGAGGAGAGAAAGGAGGAGGGAAAGGAGGCGGGGAGGAGGAGGAGGAGAGGGTGGAGCAGGGCGCTGGAGACATGCGCCATCTGCCTGGACGATTACCAATCGGGCGACCGCCTCAGAGTGCTGCCCTGCGGTCATGGTGAGCTTGCCTGTCCCAACCCTATTTTCTAGTTGACTCAAAAAAGAGGGTGGAGCAAGGCGCTGGAGACGTGTGCTATCTGCTTGGATGACTATCAGACTGGCGACAGCCTCAGTGCCCTGCGGTCATGGTGAGCTTGCCCTCTCCCAACCCTTCCCAACCCTTCCCAACCCTTCCCAAGCCTTCCCAACCCCCACTTACCCAACCCGCATACTCCCAACCCTCAACCCTCTCCCCTCTCCTCCCATCCCCCCTCTCCCCCTCTCCAACCACTTCCCCCAAAGTTGACTGCACAGACTGTGTTGACTGCACAGATTGTGTTGACTGCACAGATTGTGTTGACTGCACAGATTGTGTTGACTGCACAGATTGTGTTGACTGCACAGATTGTGTTGACTGCACAGATTGTGTTGACTGCACAGATTGTGTTGACTGCACAGATTGTGTTGACTGCACAGATTGTGTTGACTGCACAGATTGTGTTGACTGCACAGATTGTGTTGACTGCACAGATTGTGTTGACTGCACAGATTGTGTTGACTGCACAGATTGTGTTGACTGCACAGATTGTGTTGACTGCACAGATTGTGTTGACTGCACAGATTGTGTTGACTGCACAGATTGTGTTGACTGCACAGATTGTGTTGACTGCACAGATTGTGTTGACTGCACAGATTGTGTTGACTGCACAGATTGTGTTGACTGCACAGATTGTGTTGACTGCACAGATTGTGTTGACACACAACTATGTCCTCTGCTCACCCCCCTCCGCCCCTTCTTCCTTCCCCGTGCCCCCTGGTCTGGTCTGGTCCGGTCTGGTCTGGTCTGGTCGCCTGCAGAGTTCCATGCGGACTGTGTGGACGAGTGGCTAACCACCAAGCAGCCCCTCTGCCCCATCTGCAAGGGAGACGCACACGCACCCTCCACATCCGCTCCTCACACCTGCTGTACCACCACCAGCGGCAGCAGCAACAGCATTTCCAGCACCAGCAGCAGCAGCACCACCACCACCAGCACCACCGCTGCTGCACCTCCCTCTCTTTCCACACCCATTTCCAGTCAACCCCACTCCTTATCCTCCTCCTCTCCCTCCTCTCTTTCCTCCTCCCCTCACACGCAATCCCAATCCCATCCCTCCTCACCATTGTTCCTCACCTCTCTGCTTCCGAACCTACCTTGGCTAAGGCACCCTGCCAGCTCCCGAGCCTCCTCGTCTGCTCTGGCCGTACATAATCCATCTGCTGCCGAGCCTGGGGCAAGTGACATTCGGCAGCCATTCCTCCTGCCTCCTGGCCCGGCTCATTCTCATACCTCTCTCTCCCTTGCAGCTGCTGACGCAGCACCCGTGCATGCTGAGCTGTCACACCAAACGGATTTGACTAGCGTCGGATGATGGTGCAACTCACACCAGGGCCATCCATGTAACCACCATTGGATGCATCCGGTGAGATGCTGCTGACTGTATCTGCAGCCAGCCAGAGAGTGTGACATACAGCGCAAGTATCTACCTGGCATCTTCACTAACAAGGCACACGGCTACCGAGCCTTGTGAGAAATTCAGCCACTGACCTATTGGCTGCCTGTAGCTCTGGCATTATGAGATGCATTTCACTTTAACTTGTCATGTACAATAGATTACCTGGCAAGTGGATATGCAAAATTTCACAATAGCAGCTCGCAAGTTGGAGCTGGATGGGACACTGACTACCCGTCATCGCCCGGATAGTAGACAGTGTTGAATAGTAGACAGGGGTTTCAGAATGTTATATTTCTCTAGTATGCAGTGGGGTACTTAATAGTGAGTACAGCCCTGGTAGGATTTGCTATATGTATCCCATTGTTTGCTAGTGAAAGCTCTCTTTTGCCTTTTCTCACTTGCCTAGCTAGCTAAACCCTAGCTATGGCTCATGCGTTCTAGCTATTGTTTCAACAAGGGGTTGTCTATTATCCGGGTGTCTCTTATAAACAGGCTAGCCTCATTATAAGACACGCATATTTTCAAAAGCTGTAACGCTTTTCAAAATTATGTATTTTGAAAGCGAAGCTGCTTGTAATGCAGGATTTGGCAGCGTCGAGCCGCGCTAAATGTCTGAGGTCCACTGGTGATCCCCAATTGATCCTAGCGAAGGGTTTGTCAAACATATATGCTGCATATTGTCTAGGCTGTAGTGGGGTAGCCCATATGGGATACAACCCAATTAGGGTTTAGTACTTGTACTCCTGCATGCTGTTAGTTCATCATTCCTGCTGCTAGTTTCTAACATGGTTTCAGAGCACTAAGGTCCGTAGGACCGTTTTTTTTTTTTTTTTTTTTTTTTTTTTTTTTTTTTTTTTTTTCGGGCCCACCTACCGCTGCGGTTACCAGGTTACCCCACGTACCTGCCTGCCTAGCCTTGCCTTGTGACGTGCTGCACTACGCGAGCCGTCCAGCAGCCCTAGCGCTGCCTCCTGCTGCCCTAGGCCAGCGCGCTGCCCCTAGAGGCCCGTAAGGCCCGCGCGCCGCCCCTACACGCCCTTCAGGCCTGCGCAGCCCGCACCGAGCCGCGCGCAGCCCGCACAGAGCCGCGCGCAGCCCGCTGCAGCCGCGCGCAGCCCGCACCGAGCCGCGCGCAGCCCGCTGCAGCCGCGCGCAGCCCGCTGCAGCCGCGCGCAGCCCGCACCGAGCCGCGCGCAGCCCGCTGCAGCCGCGCGCAGCCCGCACCGAGCCGCGCGCAGCCCGGAACAAGGGGTCACAAGACCAGTCAAGAAACACAAAACAAGCTCAGGGTGGATCACAACGTCACCACACAAACTGAGCACAAGCAAAGGGCCACAAGGCCAGTCCACATGCAGAGATATATATAAGCAACAAGAGCAGTACAGTGATCAATACCTAGCAAGAGCAAGCATGCAGGTATAAATATAGAGCACAGTACACACAAAAGACTACAGCAAGTGTGGAAACGTAGGCACAAGGCCTAACAAAGTACAAAAGCGCTGATGATCACCAGACGGAAGTGCCTTAGTGAATATATCAGCAGTGTTGGCCCGAGTGGCCACGTGTGCAAGACGAAGCTGACCACGCTGCTGCAACTCTCGAGCCAGGAAGTAACGCAGAGCGATGTGCTTCGTTCTGTGCTCCAGTCTGTGCTCCTCACACAAGGCAATGGCAGCCTTGTTGTCGACGTAAAGAACTGGAGGAGAACGGGGCCGCTCTCCCAGGTCGGTCAGCAGGTAGGTGAGCCAGCGTAACTCCTGAGCAGCCATGGCGGTGGCGTAGATCTCAGCCTCACAACTGGAGCTGAGAACAGAAGACGAGCGAGTAGAACGCCAAGAAACAGAACCAGAGCCAAGGCTGAAAGTGTAACCCTGTGACGACCGCTGCGTAGCCTGGTCGTCAACCCAAGAAGCGTCTGAGTGCCCAGTGAGGACCACCTCTCGCCGTCCTCCAAGCACGAGCCCCATGCCCGATGTACTGCACAAGTAGCGCAGTACCCTCTTCGCAGCATCCCAGTGCACCTTTCGGTGCCGACCAGGAGCCACGTAGCGAGCCAGAAGGCCAAGAGGGTACGCAAGGTCAGGACGAGTGCAAGTCATCAGGTACATGAGGCAGCCCACTAGCTCTGGGTAAGGACCACTCGGCTCTACGGACTCATCCGAAGGCAGAGCTGAGAGCGAGTGACCTATAGCCAGAGGAGTGGCCTGTGCTGAGGACCAGGTGAAGCCGAAGCGCTGAAGGACCTACTGCACCATGTGTGACTGAGTCAGTGTGATGGTGCGGCGTGCTCGGTCCCGGGTGATCTGCAAGCCAAGATAGCTGCGCAGCTCACCCAGGTCTGTGCACGTGTGTCTCTTCTGCAGCTCCGACTTCACCAGGGCGAGGGCCTCAGTGTCAGCAGTAGCAAAGACCAAGTCGTCGACGTACATGAGGATGTAGAACGGCGGCAGCGAAGTGTCGGTGCGTAGAAACAGTGAAGGGTCAGCAGTCGAAGGCGCAAACCCAAGAGCCGCAAGGGTAGTCCTCAGTGTGTCGTGCCACTCACGGGGTGCCTGGCGGAGACCGTAGACTGGCCGGCGGAGGCTCCACTGGGTACCAGGAGGGAACGACCCAGTGAAGCCAGGTGGGCGGCGCAACCAGATCTCCTCGTGCAGGCTGCCCTGTAGGAAAGCTGTGCTGAAGTCAAGGGAGTGAAGCTCGTAGTCACGCTGAGCGGCAACGTGCAGCAGCACCCAAAGAGTAGTCATCTTTGGGGTGGGGGAGAAGGTCTGGAAGAAGTCAACTCCCTCTCGCTGACTGAAGCCTCGAGCAACGTAACGCGCCTTGAAGACAGGCGGAGAACCTGGCGGCCGCTTCACCCTGAAAATCCACATGCCATCGACGATGTTCGCCCCGGGAGGGGGAACCTCATCGACGTAAGTGTCTGTGGACTTCCAGGATGCCATCTCTGCGTCCATAGCTGCCTGCCACTGAGAGGAGTAGGGACCCGCGATCGCCTCAGCGTAAGAGCGCGGTGTGGGGATGTCTATAGCATCCGGGTCTCCCTCAGGGGCAAGCAGCATGGCCACGAGATGAGGCGCAGCGGCTGCAAGACACTCAAGGTCCTCGTGCCTGTCCTCAAGGACGTCCGTGCCAAGAGCACACTCACCCCCGACGGACGAAGGACAGACAGACTCAGACTCAGCAACAAGACTAGCAGCGTAGTCTAGACGACAGGCAGCAGCAAAGTCAACAAGCTCAGCGACCAGGGCAGACGCAGCAGCAGACTCAAACGACGGGTCAGTGACAACAGTGGCTAGCAGACGCGTGACAGTAGGGTGCTCAGCACGAAACCGGTCAGACTCAGGGTCCGCGACGTCAGGCAAAGAGGACGCAGGGGGAGACGGAAGAGGAGTACGCTCCGGAGTAGGGGACCGACGCAGGGCTACAAGGCGTGTGCCGGGGACAGCCGGCTGACGCGGACGAGGAACACGACGACCGGTACGACTAGGACGAACAGGCGAGACAGGACGCGACGCAGGCTCACGACGCTCAGCAAGACTACCTGTCTGCTCAGTGTAAGGAGAAGGAGCAGGCAGCGGTGAGCCAGGCTGTAACAGAAGACCAGTAGACGACGGGAGAGTAAGAACCTGACGAAGAACAGAGTCAGGCGGCGGCAGAGACGACGGAGACGGCGGAGCGAAGAACAGTCGTGTCGGCGCAGCTGCACCAGGACCGGCAGCTCCAGCAGCTCCAGAACCTCCAGCAGCTCCAGCACCTCCAGCAGCTCCAGAAGCTCCAGCCCCAGAACCGACACCTCCAGGCCCAGGGTCTCCAACCTCAGTGCCTCCAGCAGCAGCACCCCCAGAACCAGCACCTCCAGTCCCAGGGTCTCCAGCCTCGGTGTCTCCAGCAGCAGCACCTCCAGACGCAGCACCCCCAGCCCCAGCAGCTCCAGTACCTCCAGTACGAGCACCTCCGGGACCAGCGACTCCAGCACCTCCAGTAGACAAAGTACCAGCACCACTCCCAGCTCCAGGGACGTCAGCAGAAGTACCTCCAGCAGCAGAGCCCCGGGCTCCAGCAGCGCGACCCTGACGGCGACCGTACCAGTCGTGCAGCTGCTGCGAGGTGAGAGGCACACGTGGACGAAGGCGGCTACTCCAAGGAGACCGCGCAACAGCAGACTCAGAACCCTCAGCACCAGCACTCCAAACTGCTCCAGAACCTCCTGCGCCAGCACCCTCAGCACCAGTACCTCCAGCAGCTCCAGAACCTCCAGCGCCAGCACCCTCAGTAGCTCCAGAACCTCCAGCTCCAGCGCTACCAGGACCAGGCCCTCGAGCAGCTCCAGAACCTCCGGCGCCAGCACCCTCAGCAGCTCCAGAACCCCCAGTGTCAGTACCCTCAGCAGCTCCAGAACCTCCAGCAGCGCGGCCCTGACGGCCAAGGTACCACTCAACCAGCTGCAGGGAGGAGAGGGGGAGTGGACGACGAGAGGGCAGCGGCGAGGCACCAGCGGAGCGACTACGGAGACGGCCGCTCCAGGGAGACTGCTCACCAGACGCCTCAGCAACCCCAGGTGCAGCACCCCCAGACTCAGTACTGCCAAGCTCAGCACCCCCAGACCCCACACCCTCAAGCTCCGCACCCCCAGGCTCAGTACCCCCAGGCTCAGCACCCCCAGAAGTAGCACCCCGAGCAGGACCTGAGTCACCAGTGACCTCAACCGGCGCAGTCAAGGGAGGAGGGTCTACCTGAGACACACCTGAAGGAGCAGGACCGGGAGCGGGGAGGGGGTCTACCTGGGGAGCACCTGGAGCGAGGAAGAGCGGCGGGGGGGGGGAGCGGGGCAGTGCGGTAGGGGAAGAGACGGTAAAAGGGAACCGACTCGTCGAACGTGACGTCCTGAGACGCAAAGACACGGCGCGAGGTGGGGTGGTAAAACTGCCAACCAGGCGCGTCAGGGACAAAGCCAAGGAAGACACAGGGGACAGCGCGGGCGGAGAGCTTGTCCGCAGTGGTATCGCGGACAAAGGCACGAGCACCCCAGACCCGGAAACGCGACGCATCGCCCACCTTCCCCGTCCACAGCAGTGTGGGCGAGGTCTCCGGCAAGGAGACACGGGGCCAGAGGTTGAGCTGATGCGCGACGTACCGGACCGCAAACGGCCACAGAAAATGGGGGGCAGCCGCATGGATCATGGAGGTACGAGCGACCTCCATGACTAAGCCAATGCGGCACTCAGCAACCCCATTCTGCTGCGGAGAGGCCGGAAGCGTGAACGACTGGGTGATGCCGTGCTCCGCATAGTAGGCTGCCAAGAGGTCTGAAGTGAACTCACCGCCTCTGTCAGAGTGCAGACGCAGGACAGAAAAGTCCCGCTGGAACCGCTCGCGGAGCTGGAGACGAACAGCGCGGATCCAAGGGATCAAAACATCAGGGACGTCCCCCTTGCTGCGCAAGGGGAAGACCGTGGTGTAACGCGTGTAGTCGTCGACGACCAGCAGGAAGTACCGCTCGTGGCCCTGTCCACGGACGCGGGCTGGGCCCCACACGTCCAGGTGGAGAGTCTGCAGAGGAGCCTCTGTGGGAGGGAACGAGGAGGAGTGAGGAGCGGCGCGCTGCCGCCCCTCGACGCAAGGAATGCAGGGCGGTGCAGGCGAGGGAGGTGTCAGTAATAACGGACTGGAATGACTGTACTAGCACAAAGTTGGATACAAGTAGTAAACCCTAATCTAGTGTACCCCCTAAGGTGTAACCCACTACAGCCTACAATCATATAAACATATAATGTTTGACACACCCCCATAGGCGCAGTGGGAGACAACCACAGGGTCACGAGACCAGTCAAAGCAAAGGAAGGCAAGCTCAGGGTGGATCTCAAGGATTCCACACAAATTCCGAGCACAAGCTAGTGGTCACAAGACCAGTTCACATGCAGGTTTATAACAGAGCAAGAGATACAGTGATCACAACCTAGCAAGAGTAAACATGCAGGTATAGATATATATAGTGATCACAGTACAAGCAAAGTCAAGAGGTAAGTAAGTGAGGTCCAGTAGGCACAAGGCCTAGTAGAGTGCAGAGGCGCTGATGGTCACGAGGCTGAAGCGCCTTGGTGAACACATCAGCAGTGTTGGCCTCAGTGGCCACGTAGCGAATACAAAGCTGACCGCGCTGCTGCAGCTCACGAGCAAGGAAGTACCGCAGGGCGATGTGCTTCGTTCTGTGCTCCAGTCTGTGCTCCTCACACAAGGCAATGGCAGCCTTGTTGTCGACGTACAGGACTGGAGGAGAACGAGGCGGCTCTCCGAGGTCGGTCAGCAGGTAGGTCAGCCAGCGTAGCTCCTGGGCAGCCATGGCTGTAGCGTAGATCTCAGCCTCGCAACTGGAGCCGAGAACAGAAGAAGAGCGTGTAGAGCGCCAAGAAACTGAGCCAGAGCCAAGGCTGAAGGTGTAACCCTGAGACGACCGCTGAGTGGCCTGGTCGTCTGCCCAAGAAGCGTCTGAGTGCCCTGTGAGAACAACTCGGTCTCGCCCTCCAAGCACAAGCCCCATGCCCGACGTACTGCACAAGTAGCGCAACACCCTCTTAGCGGCATCCATGTGCTCCTTCCTGTGACGGCCAGGAGCGACATAGCGTGCAAGGATGCTAAGAGGGTATGCAAGGTCAGGTCGAGTGCAGGTCATCAGGTACATGAGGCAGCCCACAAGCTCTGGATACGGGCCACTCGGCTCTACGGACTCATCCGAAGGCAGAGCTGAGAGCGAGTGACCGGTAGGCAGAGGAGTGGACTGAGGCGAGGAGTACGTGAAGCCGAAGCGCTGGAGAACCTGCTGCACCATGTGTGACTGAGTCAGGGTGATGGTGCGCCGTGCTCTGTCCCGGGTGATCCGCAAGCCAAGATAGCTTGTCAGCTCACCCAGGTCTGTGCACGTGTGTCTCCTCTGCAGCTCCGACTTCACGTAGGCGAGTCCTGCAGTGTCAGCAGTGGCAAAGACCAAGTCGTCGACGTACACGAGGATGTAGAACGGCGGCAGCGAAGTGTCGGTGCGCAGGAACAGCGACGGGTCAGCTGTAGAAGGCGCGAACCCAAGAGCCGCAAGTGTAGTCCTCAGTGTGTCGTGCCACTCACGCGGAGCCTGGCGGAGACCGTAGACCGGCCGCTGAAGCCTCCACTGGGTACCAGGAGGAAACGACCCAGTGAAACCAGGTGGGCGGCGCAGCCAGATCTCCTCGTGCAGGCTGCCCTGCAAGAAAGCAGTGCTGAAGTCAAGTGAGTGAAGCTCGTAGTCGCGGTGAGCGGCTATGTGCAGCAGCACCCGAAGAGTAGTCATCTTCGGGGTGGGGGAGAAGGTCTGGAAGAAATCAACTCCCTCTCGCTGACTGAAGCCTCGAGCCACGTAACGCGCCTTGAAGACAGGCGGAGAACCCGGCGGCCGCTTCACCCTGAAAATCCACATGCCACTGACGATGTTCGCCCCAGGAGGGGGAACCTCGTCGACGTAGGTGCGTGTGGACTTCCAGGAGGCCATCTCGGCGTCCATGGCTGTCTGCCACTGAGAGGAGTAGGGACCCGCCATCGCCTCAGCGTAAGTGCGCGGGGTCGGGATGTCTGGTGCATCCGGGTCTCCCTCAGGGGCAACTAGCAAGGACACGAGACGGGGCAAAGCAGCAGCAAGACACTGGAACTCCTCCTGTCTGTCCTCAAGGACGTCCGTGCTAAGAGCACACTCACCCCCGACGGACGGAGGACAGACAGACTCAGACTCAGACTCAGCAACAAGGCTAGCAGCGTAGTCTAGACGACAGGCAGCAGCAAAGTCAACCAACTCAGCGACCAGAGCAGACGCAGTCGAGGACTCAAAGGTAGGGTCAGTGACAACAGTAGCGAGGAGACGCGTGACAGTAGGGTGCTCAGCACGGTACCGGTCAGACTCAGGGTCCGGAACGTGAGGCAAAGAAGACGCAGGAGGAGACGGTAGAGGGACACGCTGAGGAGCAGTAGAGGGACGCAGAGTCATGTAGTGAGTGCCTAGGACAGGAGGAGGACGCTCACGACGGACACGACTACCAGTGCGAGCAGGACGAACAGGCGACGCAGGACGAGACTCAGGCTCACGACGCTCTGTAAGACCTCCTGTGGGACCAGTGTAAGGAGAGGGAGCAGGGAGAGGCGAGGTAGGCGGGAACTGTGACTGCGGCTGGACAGGCAGAGGACACTCTACAGAGGGAGGAGGACAAGGAGGAGGAGCCTGCCCAAGAACCTGCTGAAGGAGCGGTACGAAGTACGGTCGCGGCCGCGCAGCGTCTCCAGAAGCAGAGGAGACTCCAGCGGCCGGGTCCACAGCACCAGCAGCAGCTCCACCGGCCGGGTCCTCAGCACCAGTAGTAGCTCCAACGCCCGGGTCCTCAGTAGCAGCAGCAGCGCCACCGCTCGGGTCCTCAGCTCCAGCAGCAGCTCCACCGTCCGAGTCCTCAGTACCAGCAGCAGCTCCACCGTCCGGGTCCTCAGCACCAGCAGCAGCTCCACCGTCCGGGTCCTCAGCACCAGCAGCAGCGCCACCGCCCAGGTCCTCAGCTCCAGCAGCAGCTCCACCAGGCGGGTCCGCAGCACCAGTAGCAGCTCCCACGTCCGGGTCCTCAGCACCAGCAGCAGCGCCACCCCCAGGGTCCGCAGCACCAGGAGCACCACTCCGAAGACTGCAGCGCCGTGTGTACCACTCGCGGATCTGCTGAATGGGGGGGAGCTCCTGGGTAGGAGGGGAAGTACCGGGACGAGCTCCAGCAGCACCTCTCCGGAGGCGGCAGTACTCGAGGTACCTCTCCTGCAGCTGCTGGGAGGAGAGGGCTCCTCCAGGTGTAGCACGCACAGGCTCAGCACCCCCAGACTCAGCACCCCCAGGCTCAGCACCTCCAGGCTCCGCACCTCCAGGCTCCGCACCTCCTGGCTCAGCACCCCCAGGCTCCGCACCCCCAGACTCAGCACTCCCAGGCTCAGCACCCCCAGACGCAGCACCCCCGGGCTCAGCACCCCCAGACGCAGCACCCCCAGGCTCAGCACCCCTAGCAGGACGAGAGTCAACAGCTACCTCGACAGGCTCACCCGGGTCTACCTGGGACACACCTGAGGGAGCGGCACCCTGAGGGGGGAGGGGGTCTGGTACCTCAGCACCTGGAGCGAGGAAGAGAGGCGGGGGGGGGAGCGGGGCAGTGCGGTAGGGGAAGAGGCGGTAGTAGGGGACGGACTCGTCAAAAGTGACGTCCTGAGAGGCCAGGACACGACGCGAGGTGGGGTGGTAGAACTGCCAGCCAGGGGCGTCCGGGACAAAGCCAAGGAAGACGCAGGGGACAGCGCGACGGGAGAGCTTGTCCGCGGACGTGTCGTGGACAAAAGCTCGGGATCCCTAGACCCGAAAACGCGACGCATCGCCAGCCTCTCCCGTCCAACGCAGTGTCGGAGAAGTCTCGGGCAAGGAGACACGGGGCCAGAGGTTGAGCTGATGCGCAGCGTATCGGACTGCAAACGGCCACAGAAAATGGGGGGCAGCCGCATGGCTCAAGGAGGTACGAGCGACCTCCATGACCAGACCAATGCGACGCTCAGCAACCCCATTCTGCTGTGGAGAGGCCGGAAGCGTGTACGACTGCTCAATGCCCTCCTGCTGACAGAAGGCCTCCAATAGGCCAGAGGAGAACTCCCCACCTCTATCAGAGTGCAGACGCAGGACAGGGAAGTCGGAGCGGAAACGCTCACGGAGCTGGAGACGAGATCTGCGGATCCAAGGGATCAAGACATCAGGGACGTCACCCTTGGCGCGCAAGGGGAAGACCGTGGTGTAGCGCGAGAAGTCGTCAACAACAATCAGGAAGTACCTCTCCTGACCCTGACCACGGACGCGGGCTGGGCCCCACACGTCCATGTGGAGCGTCTGCAAGGGAGCAGTCGTCGGGGGAAAGGAGGAGGAGTGAGGAGCGGCGCGCTGCCGTCCCTCGACACAGGGAATACAGGGAGGAGCAGGCGAGTCGGGAAGGGGAGGGAGCACCCTGGGAAGACCAGCAACAAGGTCCCGTTTGTGCATGGCCCGAAGGCGCTGCACAGACGGGTGACCAAGGCGGTGGTGCCAAAGGACAGTCTCATGCGCCAGAGAGCGACACGAGCAGGGGGCGGACAGCTGACCTGACGCAGACGCAGCTACCTGAGGGGACTCAGTGGTCAGTGTGTAAAGGTCCGACCCCGGCTCCCGAGTGAAGGTAGCCAGGTGGCGACCCGTCCGAGCACACGTGCAGTGTGTCACGCGCTCGTAGGCAGGGGTGAACTGGTGAACACCTCCGTCCTGGAGCGCACTACCTGCCACCAAGTTCGTAGAGAACGAGGGGAGGTAGAGACCTGACAGCGTGCCGGACGGGACCGCCGGACAAGGAAGGACAGTGGAGGAGGTCGCAATGACCGGACCCCCAGAGGGGTCAGCAAGGGAGACAGCAACTGGCCGAGCGAGTGGCTCAAGGACAGTGCGGTCACGAAAGAAGGAGCGAGAAGCACCTGAGTCCAGTGTGAAGGTGTGCAGTGCTGCAGTCGACTCAGTACCAGGGGGCACGGACGCACGAGCACCTAGGGCAGCGGCCTCACCAGGACCTGTGGGAGCAGACGCACTAGCACCTAGAGCGGCAGCCGGACTGGCCTGAATGCCCGGGTCGGGTGGAACACGCAAGTACTGAGCACCCTCTCCACTAATAGACATCGCATACATGGCAGTGAGAATAGCATCAAAGTCTAAAGCCCAAATATCAACACCCCTCTTTTCCAGATCAGCCCAGCGCGGCAGCTCAGTGGCAGCAGGAAACTGAGTGCGCCACGCGTCGTTAAGGCGCGCGAAGCAGCGCTGCGTGGGGTGCGGCCTCCCACACTGCTGGCCGCTGCGGTCACCTGTGCGAATGACGTACGTGCAGGTAACGCTACGCTGCGCATACCACTCACGGGCGGCCTGAAGTGTCGGGGCGGGCTGCTGACTCTGCCCTCCGCCAGTGCCTCCACGACCACCACCCCCACCGCCGCCGCCCCGGCCACCTCCACCCCTGCCGCCGCCACGACCACCTCCGCCTCCGCTGCCGCCTCCACCACCACTCCCGCCGCTGCTGTCTCCTCCCCCACTGCCGCCACTAGTCTCCCCAGCCGCGCCTCCACTCGCACCGCCTCCACCCCCACCTCCTCCGCCACCACCCCCACCCCTGCCCCCCTTGTTCCTGCGGCGCCCGCTCGAAGCAGACGCGGTCCCGACCTTCTCAGCACCAAGAAGGTCGACAGCAGCAGCAGAGGCGACAGAGGGGAGGAGGGGGGAAGGGGAACACCCCTCAAAGAACGGGGTGCGGGGGTCGCCACGAGAGGTGCCTACAGCGACGATGCTCGCCTCAGCTGCAAGCAGTTCCTTCTCGAGGAGGGCAACAGTGAGCTCAGTGGGGGAGCGAGAGAGGAAGTGGTCCCTGACTGCGCGCAGAGAGTCAGGGAGGCGGGTGACGATGTGGTAGAGAGTGATCCAGAGCGGGGGGGGGTTGCTAGTGAGAAACTCGGCAGGCATAGCAGCGCGAAAGCGGGCCTCACTAGTCTTAAGGTGGGTGATGAGGTCTGCGACAGTGTGAAAGGAGGCTAGGTCGGGGAACAGGTAGGGGAGAGTGAGGCGGCCTAGCGTGGCAGAAGCGGGTGAGGAGTAGCGGGCAACTACAGCGGTGTAGAGGTCCTTAGCAGTCTTGCACTGGCCGAAGTGCTCGCGCTCGTCTAGCGGCAGGGAGTTGCGAATAGCAAAGCGAGCGTGCGCATCACGGGTCTGCCACTGGGAACGCAGAGTGCTGTCAGCAGACGAGTCAGGGGCAGTGGCATGGCCTAGGGCATGGTCGTACAGTGAGATATCTTCCTTGGCAGTGAGCTGTAGGAACAGGTGCAGGTCATCGAGCCAGGTTTCGAACTTCACTGGACGGCCCTCGGCATCGAAAGCTAGAACTGGCGGACTAGCCATAGTGACAGTAGCAGTAGTAGTAGTGGCAGTAGTAACAGTAAACAGCAGTGAGATCGAGTGCCTCGCGGGCAGCGGCTGCAGAAGCGCACGGGCAGCAGCGGTGCACGGGGAACGGCAGTGCACGGGCAGCGGCGGCGCACGGGCAGCGGTGGCGCTCGGGAGGCAGCGGTGCGCAAGCAGCAGCGGAAGCAGCGGCGTACGAGCGGTTGCGGGCAGCGGGGCGTCTGCGAGCAGGCGACGAGCGGCTGCGGGCGGGCGGCCGCTGCGACGGCGGGCTGCGGGCCTGCGGGGCGTGCGCGAGCGGCAGCGGCTGCTGGCCTGCGGCGCACTAGCGGTAGCGGGCGACTCGCGGGCGGCGGCTGCAAAGGCGCACGGGCGGCAGCGGCTTATGCGCACGGGCAGCAGCGCCGACAGCGCACGGGCGGTGCGCAAGCAGCAGCGGCAGCAGCGCACGGGTGGCAGCGGCGTCGGTGCACGGGCGGCAGCGGCGTCGGCGGACGGGCGGCTGCGGGCAACGGGCGTGCGGCAGCTGCGGCGGCGAGCTGCGGGCCTGCGGGGCCACGGCGGGGTGCGCGCGAGCGGGCGACGGGCGGCTGCAGCAGCGGGCGCGTCAGCGAGGCGCACAGGCAGCGCGCGGGCAGCGTGCGGGGCCGCGCGTAAAGAAAACAGCCGCGCGCGTGCGGCTAGCGGGGCGCGCGCAGCGAAATCGACCGCGCGCGGGCGGGTAGCGGGATACGCGCGCTAAAAAAAAAGAAATCGAGTCGCGCGCGGGCGGCTGGCGGGCTGCGCGCGCGCGGTAGGTAGGAGGCGCACGAGGGCGCGTAGGCGCACGAGGCGCACAGTAGGTAGGTAGGTATGTAGGTAACGGTGGGCCCTAAGAACGGTCCTAGCGAAGGACCTGCTCTGAAACCATGTCAGTAATAACGGACTGGAATGACTGTACTAGCACAAAGTTGGATACAAGTAGTAAACCCTAATCTAGTGTACCCCCTAAGGTGTAACCCACTACAGCCTACAATCATATAAACATATAATGTTTGACAGGAGGTAGGCAGAGACCTGGGAAGACCAGAAACCAGGGAGCGAAGGGCATGCTACGAAGGCGAGGCAGGGAGGGGTGACCAAGGCGATGGTGCCACAGGAGAGTGTCGTGCGACAAAGCGCGACACTTGCAGGGGGCCGCCAGCTGACCAGACACAGACGCAGACGCAGCTACCTGAAGGGACTCAGTGGTGAGTGTGTACAGACTCGAGCCAGGCGCACGGGTAAATGTGGCCAGGTGTCGGCCCGTCCGAGCACACGTACAGTGAGTCACTCGCTGACTCGCAGGAGTGAACTGGTGAACCCCCCCATCCTGGAGGTCAGCTCCACTCACCAAGTTCGTAGAGAACGAGGGGAGGTAAAGACCTGACAGCGAGCCAGACGGGGCGGCCGGACACGGCAGAACCGTGGAGTAGTGGGCAAGGACAGGACCCCCAGAGGGGTCCGCCAGGGAGACTGCAACTGGCCGACTAAGCGGCGTGAGTGTGGTGCAGTCGCGAAAGAAGGAGCGGGAAGCTCCTGAGTCAAGGGTGAAGGTGTGCAAGACCGCAGCAGGCGCAGTACCAGAGAGAGCAGACTCACCAGCACCTGGAGCCGCAGCCTCACCAGCACCGAGAGCAGGAGACGTACTAGCACCTAGAGCAGCAGCCTCACCAGTACCTAGAGCAGGAGACGCACTAGCACCTAGAGCAGCAGCCTCTATACCAGGGTCAGGCGGTACGCACAGGTAACAGACACGGTAAGCACTAGTAGGCAATGCATACATGGCAGTGAGAATAGCATCATAGTCAGGAGCAAAGATATCTACCCTCTGTCCAAGCAGCTCCAGCCAGGTAGCGGCTCAGCCTCGTCGCCAAACACTGTACGCCAGTCGTCGCTCAGACGGGCGAAGCAGTGGGACTGTGTGTGACCAAGCGTCCCGCAAGGCTGACCAACCCGATCACCTGTGCGAATGACGTACGGGCAGCGAACTGTACGCGTAGACCTGCTACACTGAGCGTACCACTCGTGGAGCTGCCGGGACGTAAGTGTCTCGCGTGGACGCCGCTGCAGCTGCAGCTGGCCACTGCCAGACGCTCCCAACTGACCAGCTCCAAGGCGACAGCTACGACGGCTACAGCGACAACCCCAGCTAGTATACCACTCACTAAGCTGCTGGGGCGTGAGAGACTCACGTGAACGTCGCTGGAGCTGCATCTGGCCACCTGCCAGTAGCAGTAGCAGCAGCAGTAGCGCGGGCAGGGCAGGCGCGGCAGGCCGACAGGCAGGCAGGCCGGCAGGCAGACAGGCAGGCAGGCAGGCAGGCAGACAGACAGACAGACAGGCAGGCAGGCAGGCCGGTAGGCAGGCAGGCAGGCAGGCAGGCAGGCCGGCAGGCAGGCAGGCAGGCAGGCAGACAGGCAGGCCGGCAGGCAGGCAGGCAGGCGCTCACCAAAGGCTGGAAGAGCAGGCGCTCGCCGGGCGAGCAGGGCCGGCGCTCGACGGGCGGCGGCCGAGTAGGCGCACGACAGCGGCGACGTCGGGGCCGCAACACCGGCTGCAGAGTAGGGCCGAAGCAGCTGCAGGGCGGGGCCGCTTCAGCGGCAGTTGCAGGGTGGGGCCGCGTCAGCGGCAGGTCGGGGCCGTGGCAGCTGCTGCCACGGTCACTGAGTTTGCCTCTACTCGCCGCCTTGACTACGCCACCACTCTTGTGGCTGCTCCTCCTACCAGTCCTCTGGCCGTCGGGGGTGTGTCTGCCCTTGGCTGTGACGTCCTAGAGGACAGGCAGTTTGAGCTAGAGTTCCTGGCGGCCGCTTCCCCTCATCTCTGTGCCATGCTCCTCACCCCTGAGGGTGACCCCGACGCCCTTGACATTCCGACTCCTCGCACTTACGCTGAGGCAGTGTCAGGGCCTTGGGCCTCTCAGTGGAGAGCTGCCATGGACGCAGAGATGGCCTCCTACAGATCCACAGGCACCTACGTCGATGAGGTTCCTCCCCCTGGGACGAACGTAGTCGATGGCATGTGGATCTACAGGGTGAAGCGGCCACCAGGATCTCCTCCAGTCTTCAAGGCGCGCTACGTTGCTAGAGGTTTCAGTCAGCGCAGGGCAGCTGCAGGGCGGGGCCGCATCAGCGGCAGGTCGGGGCCGAGGCAGAGGGACGCGCGCGGCTCGGCGCGGGCTGCGCTGACAGCGCGTTGAGTTGTTGTAGGCCGCGCGCGGCCGCGCTAGGCAGTAGCGGGCCGCGCGCGGCTCGGCGCGGGCTGCTGCGGGCCGCGCGCGGGCCGCGCGAGGCAGTAGCAGGCCGCGCGCGGCTCGGCGCGGGCTGCTGCGGGCCGCGCGCGGGCCTCGCGAGGCCGTAGCAGGCCGCGCGCGGCTCGACGCGGGCTGCGCGCGGCAGCAGCGGGCTGCGCGCGGCTCGGTGCGGGCTGCGCGCGGCTCGGTGCGGGCTGCGCGCGGCTGCAGCGGGCTGCGCGCGGCTCGGTGCGGGCTGCGCGGGCTCGGTGCGGGCAGCGCGCGGCAGCAGCGGGCTGCGCGCGGCTCGGCGCGGGCTGCGCGGGCCTGAAGGGCGTGTAGGGGCGGCGCGCGGGCCTTACGGGCCTCTAGGGGCAGCGCGCTGGCCTAGGGCAGCAGGAGGCAGCGCTAGGGCTGCTGGACGGCGCGCGTAGTGCAGCACGTCACAAGGCAAGGCAAGGCAGGCAGGTACGTGGGGTAGCGCGGTAACCGCAGCGGTAGGTGGGCCCGAAAAAAAAAAAACGGTCCTACGGACCTTAGTGCTCTGAAACCATGTTAGAATCTAGCAGCAGGAATGGTTGAATTGAAACAGAGTTGGGTACATATGCTAACCCTAACATTGGGTTGTACCCTTTATGGGCTACCCCACTACAGCCTACACAAGCATATAACTTATACAGCTTGACATTACGCTCCTGGCCTGTGGACCCGCCTGCTTCCGCTGCCATACTGTCTGTCGCGCGCCCCGTGACGCGCGACGTTCTTTTTTCTTCCCGCCACGCGATCGGGGCGCGTGGCGGTTTTCTGCCCGTCACGCGCTCGGGGCGCGTGGCCAGGGCCTCAGATTCGTTTTTGCCTAGGCTGAACAGTCAGTGTTGTACCTAAAAAAAAAGCTGAAAAATCAGTGTCCTGGTTCAAAAAAAGGCTGACTAATCAGCCTCACTTGAAAACTAAGGCTGAACAAAGATAGAGTCCATTTTCAATTAAGTGCTCTGGGTGAGGTGGGGGTGCTTGATGTGGGGGCACGCGGTGCTTTGCTTAGCATTGTTGCTCCTCTGCAGAACTTCTGCACCGAATCGACGCGTCAGGAAAATTCAATTTCCCACTGCATCAGCGCTATAGATGGCAACTTCGGTGTGACTGCCGGGGGATGTACCTAGACAGCCGAAACTCACGCCCCCTACACGAATCAGAAATAGCGCGATTTCAGCCTACACCCTCGTTAGTACGCTGAGCAATCAGTGTACACTTGTAAAAAATTGCTGAAATATCAGCCCACACACTAAAAAAAAACTGAAATATCAGCCCATGCATTATCCCCATGTCTGAAAAATCAACCTTCCGACCCTAAATCAGCCTTTTTTCGCTAAAATCTGAGGCCCTGCGCGTGGCGGTTTCCTGCCTGCCGTGCGCCCCGGGCGCGCACGGCGGTTTCGTGCTCCGTCCCACGCGCTCCCCCCCGTCGTCCGTCGCGGCGCCCCAGAGGACCCGCGCGCCGCCCCCCGTCACCCGTCGTGGCGCCCCCAGGGACCCGCGCGTCCCCCCCGTCGCCCGTCGTGGCGCCCTCCAGGGACCCGCGCGTCGCTCCCCGTCGCCCGTCGTGGCGCCCCAGGGACCCGCGCGTCGCTCCCCGTCGCCCGTCGTGGCGCCCCAAGGACCCACGCGCCGCCCCCCATCGCCCATCGCGGCGCCCCCGGGGACCCGCGCGTCGCCCCCCGTCGCCCGTCGTGGCCCCAGGGGACCCGCGAGCCGCCCCTTGCCCCGTGCGCCGCGGGGCTGCTTCCTCCCCGCCCCTCCCCATTCTCCTTCCCCTCCCTCCTGCGCCTGCAGCTCTGGGGGTGGCAAGTATGGGGGTGGCGGGTGTGTGAGCCGTCCCCTGCTCCTCCTCCTCCTCCGTCTCCCACTGCTACAGCTGTCGCTGAAGGGGGTGGATGTGTGGGAGACGAGGGAGTGGCGCTAGGGGGGTGATGTGGGAGTGGAGCTAGGGGAGCATAAGGGGGTGTGTGAAAGGGGTGTGGGACAGTTGGGGGAGGTTGAGCGGAGGTAGCCGTCGTGACGTCAGCAGCGCCAGTAGTCCGGGGCCCTTGCTCCGGTAGCCCAGCGAGCCTGCTGCGCCAGTCGCCCGTGGGTCCGTTGCTCCTGCTGCTCGTCTTAGCCGCGGAGCCAGTTACTCCTGTAGTCCGGGGCCCTTGCTCCGGTAGCCACCGTGCGCGCCGCTCCTGTTGCCCGTGTGTCTGCGGCTTCACCCGTCGCCTCCTATCTCCACTCCTCTCACAGTCCCTCCTCCTCCTCACTTGCCCTCTGTGACTGCCTCTAGCTTTGCTTGTGCGGGTGAATTTATTATGTGACTGTTTGGTGTACTGATTATACCCCACTTTGACTATGGGGGTGTGTCAGAATGTTATATTTCTCTAGTCTGCAATAGGGTACTCTATAGTGAGTACAACCTTGTTTGGGTTTGCTATATGTATCCCATTGTTTGCTAGTGAAACCCCTCTTTTGCCTATTCTCTCTTGCCTAGCTAGCTAAACCCTAGCTATGGCTCCTGCGTTCTAGCTACTGTTTCAACATCACCCGCTATACAAACAAGCCCTTTTATCCCAGTGGTTAGTGGTTGGGATTCTGACATGGTATCAGAGCGAAGGTCTCGGGTTCGAATCCCGGTGTGTGCACCTCGGGCATCCCAGTGCAGGGGGGTGTCAGAGGTCCACTGGTGATCCCCGATTGATCCTAGGGAAGGGTTACAGGCATGGCGGCCTGGGGGGTTATGGGCGCACTCACCCGCTATACAAACAAGCCCTTTTATCCCAGTGGTTAGTGGCTGGGATTCTGACACTAAACACCCGTTTTGGAGTACAAAACGTGGGCTGGAGGTCATTTCCCTCCACCCACGTCTCTCATTTTCAAACGGTTTAGCCGATTTTCCCGCCCCCCCGCCCCCTCGAGAACAGGATAGTCTTAGTAACATAGAGGCATATCGTAATGTTACTCCATGGATTTGAATTGTACTAAACCCATTTGAAATGAGACGATGCCAATTGCTACATGCAAGAAAGCAAGCTTTCTAAATACCTATTTGTGTGTACGCGTTAAGCCAGTGTAGAGGTTAGGGGCAATCGTATAGCGAGGGGTTACCTTCTACACGGTTCTTTGTCAATTTATAAGATTTATAAGACACCTTAAACCGTCCCAAATACAAGACAACCCAAGCATTTTTGCCCGTGTGCGGGATAAGACATATATGTCTACTCTCCGGGCGATGACGGTAGCTATAAACACTCATGTTGTCCACCTGGTGGATACAATAACTACTACGGTACCGTACGGTACCGTTATGCAAGAACAAAACATAGCCCCCTCAATAACAGTACCATATGATGATGATAATGCTGCGTGCCGGTCAGAAAGACGTGGGTGGGTTATTCGTGCTGGTTATGGATCGCTTTGCTTTGCTTGCTCCCACTTCACTTGAAGAGATTCATGTTTTGGGTTGAGAGGAGTTGCTCAGCTCGCACCCTCAATCGCGATACTTGGTTACATGGAGTGGAATTATAGAAGGTTCTAACAAACATAAACTTCTACGATTGTGCTACATGTTCAATAAGCCCAAAAGTCGCCCTGACGCGGCCAAATCTGACACACGTTCAACCAACCTGCTCCTCTTCAACACCACTTGACAACTGAGCATTACTGGTGTAGCGTACTTTGCCTACCAACTACTTTACTACCAGTAAATACTATACCAGAGCCACTCTTAGAAGATGATTACCACCAGCGTCTCTTGCCCATCCGTCTCTTGACCATCCGCGTCTTCCCTAACCCCCTCTTCCACATCCGCCTCTTCCCCACCCGCCTCTTCCCCCTCCCCCACTTGTCCCTGCTCCACCTGTTGATCCTCCCCTCTTACCCCTCCCCCTCTTGCCCCTCCCCCTCTTGCCCCTCCCCCTCTTGCCCCTCCCCCTCTTGCCCCTCCCCCTCTTGCCCCTCCCCCTCTTGCCCCTCCCCCTCATGCCCTTGCGCCTCTTGCCCCTGCGTCTCTTGCCCCTGCGCCTCTTGCCCCTGCGTCTCTTGCCCCTGCGTCTCTTGCCCCTCCGTCTCTTACCCCTCCGCCACTTGCCCCTGCTCCCCCAGTTGATCCTCCCCCTCTTGCCCCTCCCCCTCTTGCCCCTGCGTCTCTTGCCCCTGCGTCTCTTGCCCCAGTGTCTCTTGCCCCTGCATCTCTTGCTCCTGCAAGTGCCGCTGCAACTGGCGCCTGTGGGGCTGCTGGTGTTGTTGATACTGGAGTCGTCTCCTCAGTGCATCACGCTGGAACACAGGAAGGGCCTCCCCCATGTCCCTCTCTTTGCTGCCGCCGCTGCCGCGGCCGCCGTCGCCGCCACCGCTGCTGCTTGCTGCATCCAGGCCGTTGGGCGCGTTGAACGTGTCCACGTGGGCGTCCATCAGCCGTTCGTATTCGCCCCACTCGGCACGCTGCAGTATGCCCGTTAGCTCCGCCATGATGTCGACGCTGCTGGGAAGGTTCGTCTGGTCGGGCGAGTCAACGATGATGTCCTTGTACACGTAGTGGTTGTTGACTCCGTGTTGACGGATGGGAAGGTTGTTGATTCCGTTGACCACGGACCAAAGATCTTCCACGTCGCTCTCTCTGCTCAAAAGTCAACGTGAGTAAGTACGCAAAGATAGAAAAGCTTGCTAAAAGATTTGGTAAATGGGTTTCAGAAGGTTACAGCCTCTCGTTAACGCGGCGCGTTACTTGATTTTGAGGCTCGCAAGCAGTCCCGAACTGTAGAGGGCTTTGCAACGTCCCAGCTCGCTGCATTCGTGGCGATTTCCTGACTCCACAGTGAGCACGGGTCCGCTGCACCACTCTGCATCACGCTCGCTGCCTCTACACCGCTCGTTCCCGATTCAACAGTAACATCAGCAGCTCATGCTACAGAAGCTTCGTTATCAGTGTAACAAGACGGGATTCACCATGCGAGATGCATGGAAATTCCCGAGCGGGTGGTTGCCTAGCTAGCTCCGAATAGCTACACTTGCTAGCCTAGAGCACACTCCCGTATCCCCGTCAGCAAGACAAGTACAGCAGGCCATGGCATTGAGGCGCTATGCCAAGATGCCATACTAGAAGCGTAGCGACGCTGACTTTCTTTACGAGCTGCGCTTCTATCTTCCTAGCATAAATATTCCTTCTCAGGATCTTGTTGTACCATCCTTGGATCTCTAATTCTATCTTCTTGATCCTTCTCTTCAACTCTCTCTTGTCTACTCTCTTGGAGCTAGGCGTCTCTCGGTTTACCCTTGCTCCCTTCCGTTGCGTCATAATCTCTTCTTCTTTCTTTCAACAAGCTACGGCGCCACCTTCGCCTTGGCGGACTCGGCCAACCTGGCCTAACGTGGCTGCACGCCGTAGCCTTGCTTCATTTGTATCCGAGCTGGTTACGATCCTAAGCTTCTATTCTCGTACTAAGCTAGCTACTATCTTCACCATATCTATTACTCACATCCTTAGTAGCTGGCTGCTTCTCTGAGGCTTATACTTCTGCTTCGACATGTCCTATCTTGAAGCAACTACGAGACTTTCTTGCACCTTGAATGGCGAGGAACTTTCTGCTCCAGATCTGAAGTCGAAACCTACTTTGGTGATGGCGAGGCTGCTGAATCTGCATTGGCGAATTTCAGCCAACCAGAAGAATTGGTGTTAAACTGTATTATGCTTGTAGGCTGTAGTGGGGTAGCCAATATGGGGTACAACCCCAACTAGGGTTTCATATTTGTACCCAAACTTCTGCTAGTTCAATCATTCTTGCCTAGCTATTCTGAAATGGTATTCAGAGCAGGAGGTCCCTAGGACCTACCGACCGTTTTTTTAAGGGCCCACCACCGCTCGCATGCGGTTACCACGCTACCCCGTGCCCTAGCCTCGTAGCGCCCTCGTGCGCCCTCGTTAGCGCCCTCGCGCGCCCCTCGTTAGCGCCCTCGCGCGCACCCTCGTTAGCGCCCTCGCGCGCCCCTCGTTAGCGCCCTCGCGCGCCCCTTGCTAGCGCCCTCGCGCGCCCCTCACTAGCGCCCTCGCGCGCCCCTCGCAGTGTCGCCCGCCCGCCGAGCCGCCCGCTCGCAGCCCGCTCGTCCTGCTGCCCGCTTCGCAGCCCGCCCGCCCGCTCGCTGCCCGCTTCGCGGCCCGCCCGCCACGCAGCCCGCCCGCCCGCTCGCTGCCCGCTTCGCGGCCCGCCCGCTTCGCAGCCCGCTCGCTCGCTGCCCGCTCCGCGGCCCGCCCGCTTCGCAGCCCGCTCGCCCGCTCGCTGCCCGCTTCGCGGCCCGCCCGCCCGCTCGCTGCCCGCTTCGCGGCCCGCCCGCTTCGCAGCCCGCTCGCTCGCTGCCCGCTTCGCGGCCCGCCCGCTTCGCAGCCCGCCCGCCCGCTCGCTGCCCGCTTCGCGGCCCGCCCGCCTCGCAGCCCGCTCGCCCCGCTGCCCGCTTCGCGGCCCGCCCACTTCGCAGCCCGCCCGCCCGCTCGCTGCCCGCTTCGCGGCCCGCCCGCTTCGCAGCCCGCTCGCCCCGCTGCCCGCTTCGCAGCCCGCCCGCCCGCTCGCTGCCCGCTTCGCGGCCCGCCCGCTTCGCTGCCCGCTCGCAGCGCCGCCCGCCCGCCCGCTACCTGCTTCGCAGCGCCGCCCGCTGCCTCACTGCCCGCTTGCTGCGTCCCCTCTGCTGCTGCCGCTGCTCTGCTGTGCCCTCACGCCTGAGCTATGGCCTCTATTCGCGTTCTTTCCTTCGATGCTGAGGGCCGTCCCGTGCAGTTCACTTCCTGGCTCGACGACCTGCAGTTGTATCTTATGAGCAATAGCACGGACCACATCTCCCTCTATGACTACGCGTCTGGTGCTGCCGCTGCTCCTGCTGCCACAGCCGAGCTTAGTGTTCGTTCCCACTGGCAGACTCGTGACGCAGCTGCTCGCCTAGCCATTCGTAGTCACCTGCCGCTAGCTGAGCTCGAGCATTTTGGCGACTGCAAATCCGCTAAGGCCCTGTACGATGCTGTCGTTGCTCGCTACTCCTCGCCTGCCACAGCCGAGCTTAGCCGCCTCATGCTGCCGTACCTGTTCCCCGATCTGTCCACCTTTACTACAGTCGCCGATCTTATCACCCACCTTCGCACTAGTGATGCTCGCCTGCGTGCCGCCCTTCCCACCGAGTTCTGCGCTAAGAACCCCCCTCCACTGTACTGGACACTCCACTTCATAGTCACCCGTCTCCCTGACACCCTCCGCTCAGTTCGAGACCACTTCCTTGCTCGCTGTCCCACTGAGCTCACAGTCGCCCTCCTAGAGGAGCAGCTGCTCGCGGCCGAAAAGAGCATTGTAGCTGTTGGTGCTGCTCGTGGCGCTCCTCGCACCCCCATCTTTGAGGGGTGTTCTCCCTCTCCCCTCGCTCCCTCCTACGCTGCTGCTGCTGCTGTTGACTTCCTTGGTGCTGAGTCTGTTGGCGCTGCTTCTGCTCCTGGTGGGAGGCGCCGCACCGGCAAGGGCAAGGGGGGCAAGGGTGGTGGTGGTGGCGCTGGGGGGGGAGGAGGTGGGGGAGGTGGGGGGGGAGGCGGTGCTGGAGGGAGCGGTGGCGGGAGCGCTGGTGGGAGTGGGGTCGGTGGTGGAGGCGGGGGCGGCGGCGGAAGCAGTGGCAGTAGTGGCGGCGGCGGCGGTGGCGGCGGTGGCGGTGGTGGCGGTGGTGGCGGTGGCGGTCGGAGCGGTGGTAGTGGTGGCGGCGGCGGTCGGAGTGGAGGCACTGGCTCGGGCCAGAGCTCCCAGCAGCAGCAGCGTCCCCAGACGACCCAGCAGCTTCGTGAGTGGCTTGCTCAGCGTGGGACGTCGGGGGGCAGTGGCCGCTGTTCTTATGTCATTCGCACAGGTGACCGCAAGGGACAGACGTGTGGGAGGTTCCACACCCCGTACCGCTGCTTCTCCCGCCTTGACGACGCTTGGCGTGAGGAGATGGGCGCGGATGTTGAGCGCCCCCGCTGGGCTGAGCTCATGAGGGCTGGTGTTGATGTCTTTGCTCTTGACTATGATGCTATTATTGCTGCCATGTATGCATTGACTGTTAGTGCCGAGGGAGACTGTTACTTGTGTGTGCCGCCTGACCCAGGTATAGAGCCCGCTGCCCTGGGTACTAGTGAGTCTGCTCTCTCTGGTATGGTGCCCCCTGTACTTGCTCCCCCCAGTGCTGTCCTGGCTGGTTTCGAGTCTGCTCTCTCAGGTACAGCACCCACAGAGACTGCTCTCTCAGGTACCGCACCGGCTGAGGCCTGTCACACCTTCACCCTTGACTCAGGTGCTTCCCGTTGCTTCTTTCGTGACAGTACTGAGCTCACACCGCTTCCTGCACCGGTCCCAGTCTCCTTGGCTGACCCCTCTGGGGGCCCAGTCCTTGCCCAGTCCACCACTGTCCTCCCTTGTCCGGCGGTTCCGTCTGGCTCGTTGTCGGGTTTCCACCTCCCCTCGTTCTCTACGAACCTGGTGAGCAACGCTGTCCTCCAGGATCAGTGGGTTGACACCTTTACCCCTGGCGGACAGCGTGTGGCGATCTGCACGTGCTCCAGGACCGGCCGTCACCTGGCTACGTTTACCCGTCGGCCGGGGTCGAGTCTCTACACACTGACCGCTGCCTTTCCTCAGGTCGCTGCTGTCGGTCAGGTGTCTGCGTCAGGTCTGGTAGCCCACGCCTGTGAGTGTCGTTCCCTGTCGCACCAGACTCTTCTCTGGCACCACCGCCTGGGTCACCCCTCCTTGCCACGCCTTCGTGGCATGCACCGTCGCCACCTTGTGTCTGGTCTTCCCAGGTCCCTCCCTCCCCTCCCTGCCTCGCCTGCGCCGCCTTGCCTTCCTTGCGTCGAGGGGCGGCAGCGCGCCGCTCCTCACTCCTCCTCGTTCCCCCCGACAGAGGCTCCTCTGCAGACCCTCCACCTGGACGTGTGGGGCCCAGCCCGCGTTCGTGGTCAGGGCGGTGAGCGGTACTTTTTGCTGGTTGTCGACGACTACTCGCGTTACACCACGGTCTTCCCCTTGCGCACCAAGGGTGAGGTCCCTGCTGTTCTGATCCCTTGGATCCGCACGGTTCGTCTCCAGCTCCGCCGCCGTTTCCGGACGGATCTTCCTGTCCTGCGTCTGCACTCTGACAGAGGTGGTGAGTTTTCCTCCGATCTCTTGAGGACCTTCTGTCAGGCGGAGGGCATCGAGCAGACCTTCACGCTTCCGGACTCCCCACAGCAGAATGGGGTTGCTGAGCGCCGCATTGGCCTGGTCATGGAGGTCGCTCGTACCTCCTTGGTCCACGCGGCGGCTCCCCATTTTCTGTGGCCGTTTGCTGTCCGGTACGCCGCGCATCAGCTCAACCTCTGGCCCCGTGTCTCCTTGCCGGAGACCTCGCCCACACTGCGTTGGACGGGGGAGGTTGGCGATGCGTCGCGCTTCCGGGTGTGGGGTGCTCGTGCCCTTGTCCGTGATACGTCCGCGGACAAGCTCTCCTCCCGCACGCTTCCCTGTGTCTTCCTTGGCTTTGTCCCTGACGCGCCTGGCTGGCAGTTTTACCACCCCACCTCGCGCCGGGTCTTCGCCTCTCAGGATGTCACCTTTGACGAGTCGGTCCCTTTTTACCGTCTCTTCCCCTACCGCACTGCCCCCCTCCCTCCCCCGCCGCTTTTCCTTGCTCCTGGTCCCCCTCCGGTAGACCCCCTTCCCCCTCAGGGTCCTGCTCCTTCAGGTGTCTCTCAGGTAGACCCTCCTCCCGTCGCTGAGCCTGTCGAGTTCACAGGTGACTCAGGTGCTGCTGCGGGTGGTGCTGCTGGGAGTGCTGAGCCTGGGGGTGCTGAGCCTGGGGGTGCTGGGCCTGGGGGTGCTGGGGCTGCAGGTGCTGGGACTGAGGGTGCTGGAGCTGAGGGTACGGTGCCTGAGAGTACGGAGCCTGGGGGTGCTGAGCCTGGGGGTGCTGAGCCTGCGGGTGCGGGGCCTGGGAGTGCTGGGACTACGGGTGCTGGAGCTGAGGGTACTGTGCCTGAGAGTTTGCCGCCTGGGGGTGCTGAGCCTGGGGGTGCTGCGACTGGGGGTGCTGAGCCTGCGGGTACTGAGCCTGCGGGTACTGAGCCTGGGGGTGCTGCTACTGAGCCTACGGAGCCTCGGGTTACTGCGTCTGGGGGTGCTCCGGTTCGGGGTGCTGAGCAGTCTCTCACACCGCAGCAGCTTCGTGACTGGTACGTCCGGCGCTTTCGCCGTCCTAGTGGCTCGGCTGGAGTTGGGGGTGCTGGGGCTGCTCGTCCTGGGGGTGCTCGTACTGGAGCTGCCGGGACTGGTTGTTCTGGGAGCACTGCGACTGGAGCTGCTGGAGCTGGGGACTCTGGCGCTGGCGGTGCTAGCGGAGTTGGAGCTGCCGACTCTGGGGGTGGCGCTGCTGCTGGTGCTGCGGACCCGCCTGGTGGAGCTGCTGCTGGAGCTGAGGACCCGAGCGGTGGCGCTGCTGCTGGTGCTGGGGACCCGGACGTTGGAGCTCCTGCTGTACCTGAGGACCCGGCCG